AGTAAAGGTTCAGAACAACCATAAACTCTAAAATACAGAGTGGTCTTTGTCAGTTTTTAACAGCCAACTGTGGAATATGATCCAGTTAAAACACTCAACACCACAAACATCTGTTCTCCCTATACAATGTGCAGGTTGCATTACTTTTATCTGGGATGTTTTTGTACAGTTTTTCCAAACAACAGTTTAAATACAGTATCAAAGACACAAAATACAACATCTGTCTCAAAGCAGGTTGTAATCAAGTTGCCTACAGTATAAAGAATATGCAACATAGTATGAGTGTATATACTGTATATTTATATATATACACATACTGCAGACAGTCACAAAGTGAAGACTACCAAGGCCCCCCATACTCCCAAACTAAGCTGTTCTATTCACATTTAACAAGAATATTCAAAGATGCCATGAAACAGCAACCATAATACAAAAGTCACCAAAAATATATATATGCAATTATGAGGAGCTACCGTGTTTTTTTTTTTTTCCGTATATTTTCCTATTTTAAATAAGGACTGGAAACGTATACAACATCAAGTGTACATTGAAAAGGCATGTCCTGTATATAATCAAGATATCTGAAAACATTGCACATAAAAAGGGATAACGTACAGAAAAGAAGAAGGCATGCTGAACAACAGATCAAAGCTACATTGGATGAAGAGTCATCGACAAATAAGGCCTTGACAGAACGCATCACCAACTGAGGACATGCTCTCCACTTGACAGCGATATGAACATGCAACTTTCCAAACAAACAGAAAGGAGCTGAATAGAACCACTGTATCAAAGCTTTTCGTTCCTCGTTTCACAGATCAAATGGGGTCCTCGCCTATTTGATTCACCTTCAGTCACATTTGAATATAACAAAAAAAAAAATCTACATTCTTTTTTTTATGTTTCACCAATTAAAAAAAAAAAAAAAAAAAAACATCAACCTTTCCATTTATTGCACACCATTAGTTCACAAAAATATTTTGGGCACTTTTGCGTTTCAACAAACAGCAGCATTTCATTTATAAAAACGTCTTTTTTTTTATACAGACTCTGAACACAACAGATGAAAAGCATGACTTACAAATGGAGAATAGAAAAAACCTTTCTTAAAATTTCTGATACTGTGCAACTAGAGTTTATAGGTCCATACACTAAGGCTAGCCTCTTAAATGCACAACATCATACAGTGTTTTAAGGGGCAGAAACAGCAGGACCCCTCTGCTAAACCACATGGACCACTTACAATGATTATCTCTTTCTTTTGTTATGTGCAATTACTGATTGCCATGGCAAATCCCCAGTAAGATAGAGAACATTTGGTCCTTTAGGTAAAAGCATGATTAGTACCCAGACAAAAAGGGTAAGATGGCACAACTTTAAGAAGGTGACTTACAGGCTGATACAAACTCTTATTAAGACCAGAGCCTGACGATATAGGATTTTCAAGACCAGTACTGATATTAGAAGAGGAACAAACTCCTGTGGAAGAGATATGCAGACCAACACATTGAATTTCAGATGCAGATCTGCAGCAGAAGTGTTGAAAAAACAGGTTTTGATGTTTTGCAACTCATTTTAACCACTTACTTGATTGAAAATAATGCAAAAGCATGTGTAATGTTGAAATTGAAATATGTGGTAGTTTCATGAAAAATACAAGGTTATCCAAATTTGGTGCCAGCAACAAAACAGGTGGGAACTGGGATGACAGAACAATTAAAAAAAAAAAAACACCTGCAGCAATATCTTAACTGGGTTCATCTGTCACATGACTGTCTGTAATAAAAGCATTCAGAAACAGAGAGAACACATCATCACTCTGTGAGAGACTGTGTGAGCAAATACACCAAAAGTTTCAAAATTATGTTTCTTAGCATAAAACTGCAAAGAATTCTTTGGGATTTTATCATCTACGTACTATTACTGGAAATACCATTTCCAACAACAACTAATCGTTCTTTTTGGAAATCATGGATTCTCTGTGCTTAGCTCTGAAGGGGAGAGGGTCCACCTGGCTTATCTACAGTGCAAATTTAAAAGGCCAAAGCGTGACCTCTTAGCAGAGGAGTCCAGGTGGTAAACTGACCTGCCTGCAGTCCTGACTTTCATCCACTGTAAGTATTTGGGGCATCATGAAAACAAAGTTCAGACAAAATATCCCCCAAACTGCTCAGCTGCTTAATTCCTGCATCAGGCAAGATTCAGACTTTTCACTTCAAATTCAAAAATACTCTCTCCTCATTTTCTAAAAATGTACTAACTTTTGTTTAAGGAAGAGGTGATGCACAACAAATGTGCAAATTTTTGAGTTGGTTGCTGGCATCAAAATTTTAAAAAGCACATATTTTTCATAAAACAATAACATAAAATCAGTTTCAGCATCTGATATGTTGCACGCTCTTACGATGAAAGGAGATCTTTTCTTTCAGGACTGGAGATTTTCTTTTCCAACTTAAATGATTGTGCCGAGATTTTTAAAAAGCTGATTCCCCAAGGGAAAAAAAAAAATTATGATAAATATACAAAACTGTATTTTTTACTGATTTGTTGCATTAATATCTGCTCAGCTGTGATGCTCTCTTGCATGCACAGACCTATTTTCTCATCCCAAACAGTTTGTGCAGTGTCTGGTCTTTCTAAAAAGTTGTAATATCATCCCACTAATGAGGCTGATATGAGCCCAGTAATACCAGCTGACAAATACATCGATCAGGCTCTAAGTAAGACAGCTCCCAGTGAACGTCAGTGAGAACACAGTCATACTGGTGCCCTTACTTACAGCAATTATTCACCTCTACATTTACAATCAACCCTGTATATGAGGCCTCACATCCTGCTGTGATTATCCTTAACTTTGTCTGTTTATACTTCTGTCAGGGGACATTAGAAAATCAAAGATTCCACTACACAAGAAACCCAGTCACAGTCAGTAGCATTCAACTCACGGACTATCACCGTGAGTGTCATTAACTTCTCGGAAATACAGGCACAACAATGTCCAAGTACAAAATGACAACATGTTGGCACAAAACAAGTAACAGGAATCTGGGATTTGACCCAAAGCAACAGAACAAAAAAGAAATTAGTGAAGTCAGCTTTCAAACTGTGTTAAGGTAAATAAAAAGCTCTAACGGATCACAATATAAGGATCATTTTGAATGATTCAGCTCACAGTATTTGCATTCACACATTTAAATCACCTTTTGCTTCTAAAGCAATGTTATCTCATAACATTAGATAGTCATGTCACCTGTTCGTCCTGCATCTGATGTGATTATTTCTGAAATTCTTGACAGGGATTTTTTCACAATTTAGTCCTTTTTTCAGTAACAGCTGTGAAATGTAACAAAAAAAAAAACAAGATGGTGGGAGTTACTCCACAATTTAAACAGAACATATGCTCATGGTTGAAAGTCATGGACCTAATATAAGAAGTGAACGTAGCCTAAGAAAATGTCTTAGAGCTGCAATCTTTTCATACCCAGCAGGGGGCGACCCAAACATTACTGAAATAGGAGAGAGATCTCATTGTTTCTGTTTTCATTGTCTCAACAGGTAAATGACTTTGATTGCTAGATTCAGGTCTTTGTCAGAACAGCGTGATGCCAAATTGGCGACGACCAAACTTAAAGCTATAAAACTGGAGTTTACGGTTTCATGAACCACGTCAGGGCGGCTGCGTCCACTTTTTAAAAAACAGTCCATGGTTCTCACCCAAAAGTCACACCAGGAATCAACTTCAACACAAACTTTTTGTACCTAAGCGGAGCTGTTTTCTTGGACATTTGTATCCGACACCCAGAATACCAAAGCCATTGAAAATGAAAACACGATCATTTCACTAAGTTAAACTGGGCTGAAATGCTACATCACCTTTTCTTTGAGTTCCTTTGGGACTTCAACACTGCAGTTATAAGAAACCTTTGATTTCAAACTGGAAATGTTCATTTTACACAAATATCAGTCCTATTTTGTCATTTCTTTGAAGAGATTTTGCAACAGAAGCTGCATCAGTGCTAACTTTAGATTTCTTAAATTCCTAGAGTTTGACTTTTTGGAATCTAAGGTTTAATTGAACAACAGTGCATCAACAAAAAAAACCTCCAAAGTAACGAGTAACATGTCTGAAAACGTAAGTACTGCACAAACATCTCTAAGGGAATACTCTGTCCATCTCATTTCAAGTTTTTAACATTTAAAAAATGAAATGTACTGTGTTCTTTTAGATAAAAAAGAAATGCACATACACACACCTGACATATCATATTTCACAACACCCAACATACACAGCATTCAAATAGTAAAACAGTACAAGCTATTGCAATATAGATAATATTGACATTGAACAGTTTGCCTATAGCGACGGCACTGAAGGAATAACACAGTCTCTGCCCATACAAACTAGCATTATCACTACAAATGAAATACATTTTTCTTTTTATTCTTAAGCTCAGTTTGCAAAGACTCGATTTGTCACGTTGGCAAAGTCACGACCTCGTCTTCCTCTACACGCTGCTCTGTTTAAAAGGGAACTCTCAGGCACTTTCCAAAAGTAGAGCAAGGCTTGTACTTAACAGACCTCGAATCAGCTAAGACAAAAGGGACTTAAGCGAGTGCTGCATTCACGTCATATGGGAAAAAACAACCTTCCTTCAGGACTACACTTGTAGTCGCTTTGACTCTCTTGACCCACTGAAATCTGCTGATCCTCAAAGTATGAAAAATCGTTCCCAAGAGGTTTGGGAAATTTCTATTTGAGTTACAAAGAAAACAGAAAAAGTCACTGACTTTGCTGGATTTGGTTTAGTTAAAACAAAATAACTATTTAATTTGCAGGTGGAAATACGTCATGAAGGCAACAGTCCCCAGAAACTTCAACCAAGGCTTTACACGGGGAGGTCTGAATGTGTCCCAGCTGTCCCTCTGATCCTCTTTCATCTTGTATCCCCATATGACAAGACTGCACAATAAGACATGATGGGCAAAGTCGAAGGCTTAAATCACTCGATGGTAATGGAAGCCAGCTCCTTGGCCTGTGCATGCTGCTGCTGCTGCTGCTGTTCTTCTTCAAAGACCTCCGGGGAACTTCCTCCCTCACTGTTGTCCATCTTGGTCTCCTCTGTCATGGCTGCAGCCTCGTCTGCATCCATTTTGAGGGAGGATGGGGCTTCCAGGGGATCCAGGGGCTCAGGTGAGAGGAAGCCAGAGGAATTCTCGCAATTCTGGGTAGAGGAGGAGACCTGGGAGATGACGGGCATCTGGACTGAGGAGGAGGAGGAGGCTGCGGTGGTGGTGGAGGTGGAGGTGCTGCCCGGGTAGACGGGGTGATGTTGGGACTCCTCCAGCTCATACTGGACTCCCAGCGCCTCTTCCTCCTCCTGTACCTGGCTCAGGTAGTCGGGCACGAGGAAATCACTGTAAAGACGGACAAAATGAGATAGACTAACAATCCTCTTTAAAAATTTCTCACTGAAAAACTTCTTGACAATCAATTTTTACTCTGCTTACATCTCTTAGTGTTAAAAGAATCTGGGAGGTTTATCATTTCTAACCTTACTGAGTTGGAAAGGCTTTGTTGCAAATGGACTCCTGACAAGAATCTGCCGAAAACTGTTCTGTTCTCATTCTTTGTTTTAGAGGAAAAAACATCTAGAATTGAATTTTTCAGAATAGAGTTTAACTTGAAGTTCACCCTTAAATTCCATGCAGGTTTGGACACTGTGAAAAATGTTGATCAAAACCCACTGAGATGGTTCCAACTGATTTAAATCACGTATTTGACTGCAAATAGCAAATCACTACAAAAAAACAACTTTGATAAAAAAAAAAAAAAGTAAAATAAAAAATACAGAAGCATCTCTTTACCAGATAGTTAATTGTGCAACAGGTTAGTAAAATGAAAGTTATTCCAGAGAGGCTGAGTCTTAGAGTAATAAGAGTAATAATGAAAAGGGAGGGAGTTTATTAAAACATGAGAAAATGTTAAAAACAGGACTAAAAGTAATAATACTAATATAAATAACTGACAAGGTTAAACAAGAAGTATGCAGTTAATCAAATAGATAAATAAATAAATCATGCATCATGTAAAATCAAGTCTAAAGAAGTGAGTTTTAAGATGTGATAGTGAGAATAGTGTTCATGTGCATAAAACTACAAACATTGAAGGATTTCGTCATCTAAAGAACGTAATACCACTAAAAGAGTCAGAGAAGCTGGAGAAATCTCAAAGCTAAAAAGAAATACTGGATAGTGATTTTTGGCCCTCAGGCGGTACAGCAATACAGACATGACTCATGCAGCAAGTGGAAATCACTGCATGGGCTCAAAATCCCTTCCAAAAACCACTGACTGTCAACAAAGTGTGTCTCTGCATCCAAATAGTAAGTGGACTGTGTTTATACAGCACCTTCTCGGGTCTTCTGACCACTCAGAGCACTTTAACATCACATGTCAGATCCACTCATTTACGCCACGTTCACACACTGACAGCAGAGGCCGCATCCATCAGTACTGGGTGCGTGGGGTCAAGTGTCTTGACCAAGAGCACTTGGTGATTTGAAAACCGATAAAATCTGTTTTTGTCAACATTTTTTACAGCGCCGCTGCTTTTTAGGAAGAGAAGTAGAGACATGACTGCATAGAAATGCACATTGACCACAGCTATCAGTCTTTATGCATTTTGAACCTCAGCTTGAGCATTATGGCTATCACAGTCTCCTCTTAGAGCCAATGGAGTCATGCCACAGAAGTGACCTAATAGAGCAAACTTCAACCCTGTCATCTATTTGAATAGAAATGCCTTTTTTAAAAAGTGCCAAGGTCTAAAGCTGTCATCAAATTAAGTGTACAAAGCCTGAAATACAGCCTTCATATAAAAATATGAACACAGCTACAAAATCATCAGTGCAAATCCAACCAAAATGAATGTTATCTGATTTTAATTTCCAATCAAGCCAGCGGATGAATTCCTGTCACAAAGGCCCTTTTAACTGAGTGAGTGCATGCTGTGACCATAGTTGTAAAGTAGATTAATCCCAGTATAGCATATTAAAATGTACAGACTATTGAACAGTTGGAAATAGAGCGCAATATCCTGAATAAACGGTTTAGATCCCGTGAAAGTATCCCCTGTGGTCGAGATTTCAGCTGAATCTGACAAACTGGAATGCAGTTCAGCTTCTTATACAAAAAAAAACGCATACAGTGGAGTTAACATCTCTTTTTATGTGAAGACTGAGGACGGACTTAAAGAGTCTGACTGGATTGCCAGAGAATTTTCCACACTGTTATGATCTCAAGTGTAGACCTTCTACTATAAAACTCTTGAGGAGTCAATGGCCCATTTGAGCCCTGCCGACCTGTGAGGGCTTGAGTTGATTAAGAAGTGGAAAAGTCTGGGAAACAAAAACACTCTTCGACTTTATAAAGACACTATGTTCTGCTTTTCACGAGGCTTTGTGGGCTGAGCTGCTGATAGAAAACAACCAACCCACTCTGTTTGGTTAAGAAATATTCATTCAGGTTAGTACAAATAGTGATGACTAAATGATTTAAGTTGTATTTTGTGGCTATTGTGTTTGTCCAAACATCTCTTAAGAGAGACGTTTATAAGGAGTGGGAGTATAAAATGAAGATTTATAACTTTAAAATGATCTCATTTGTTTCAAAACGCTTTGTAGTTGTAACTAATATCGGTGACAATTACTAAACTGAACTCGTTTCTTAATCTTGAACACTTCACCCTTAAATTTACCAAACAAAGAGGGGCGAGTAAGAGAGACTATGAGACACTTCATATTGTTAGTGAACTTTGAAATAATAGTTCAAAGCTTTGGAGAATACACTTATTTACTTTCTTCCCAAGACTAAGATTAGAAGAGATATCTTACTTAGTATTCATATTTAACGTCAATGTGATGGTACTTTTTAGCAGCTGGGTAACTGAGCTCAACACAAATAATGGGAATCAGTGAAAAAGCTCGCCTGGCTCTGTTCAAACATACAAAACATCACACTCTGCACCTCTAAAGTTCATCTTACACTCTTGATAACCCACAGCTGATAGTGTTGCTACAGACTCTGGAAAACTTTTAACAGTGATTCCTTTGAATTTGGATTGAGCATGACTGAAACATTTCCAGTTGACTGAGGAGCCTTAATGGAGGCACTCCCCCCTTTTATAATTAATATTTTTACTTATGCCGGAGGAAAAATCTTCAGTCATTACAAACAAAAGGAGATTCAGGAAGCCATGATTAGATATAAACAAAAACCGCTAAGGGCATCATTGAGAACTTGTAATTTTTTTCATACTAAATACAGTGTTTGTTTTCAAAAGCGTAAACACAAACCCTTGGCCTATCATGGGGTTTACTCGCTTCCACAGTCAAATTTATACAGAGCAGTATGGACTACAAGGGCTCTTACTTATTATCTGAAATTCAAGTCACCATTTGAACTCAGGGTTATGGGTCAGTATTCTGTATGAGCCGTTCAAATATAAAATCTAAAGTTTGTCAGCATATCAGGCTGTCTAAAGTAGTCTGCCATTTCATCCAGCAGAGGGCGCTCTCAACGTAACCTAACCACTGAATGGCACTCTTTACCTCGGTAAATTATATGCCGGTGTGATGCATTCAACAGGCTGTGGGTTTAATGCAAATATTGTTACAGTTTAAATCACAGTTCTTGACATCATCACCGCGGCACGCAAATTTTTTTTTTTGTAGGATGGTAGGGAAAGGTCCCACCTTCCTTCACCTCTAATTGGCTAGAAGTGCTGGGCTTGGCTATTCCTAATGGCTGTGAAACATCATCGTCTGTTGGGTTAGGGTTAGGGTTAGGGTTAGGGTTAGGATTAGGATTAGGATTAGGATTAGGATTGGGATGAGAATTAGGGTTAGGGTTAGGGTTAGGATTAGGATGATGAGGGTAAGGGTAAGGGTAAGGGTTAGGGTTAAGATTAGGATGAGGGTTAGGATTAGGATGAGGGTTAGGGTTAGGGATAATGTTCTGTTTGATGTACAGAGCTGACAGACTGCATTTGGCTTGAGCGTGTAATGACGTTTCCAGGTTTTCTAGCCAATCAGAGGCAAAGGAGGCGGGACTTTCCCCTACTTCCAGTCCTACACGGGAAGACTGATTGATTGATTGCTTGTTTATCTTATTATCTTGTCAAGTTATCTGATTTGACATTTTCTTTAATCAAAGGATATTTCAGTGTCATTGGGCTAGTACTTTTGGTATGCTGTACTACTGTTTAAGAAACTGTGAAACATTTTTGGTGGGGAACTTTATTATTGTTATTATCTTTTTTATTTTTATTTTTTTAAGTGACAGCCGTACCGGTTACGCCAATCAAGAATACCAAATTATTCGCCTGGACCTTGAAATCCAACAACAGGGCCGACACTGGCCGAAACAGATAGTCAGTCAATCTATCGGTGTCCCTTTCATTCACTCCAGCAGAGATAAAAACTTATTTTTTAAAACTTCTATAAGACTTTGCTGGCCTCCTGGTAATTTGTCCCAGCTAAAAAAATAAAGGTCTAAATACCGCGGGTATCTTGTGAATTAGTGTTTTTACATGGCAATTTAAATATAAATAAAAAAACCTACAAATGTGCTGATTAAAGAGGTGTTTCTGTGATGGTAGACAAGTTTTGTTACATTTGGACTGAGCCAAGCTAGCGCTCTGTCCAGATCACCAGTGCTGGCTCCAGGTACACATTTAAATAAGTGCACATCTAAGTCTTGAGCTGAAAATGAGTAAGTATATACCCCTACATGTTGAACTACTCTTTCAAATGAGTGAAGTAACAAATTCCCCGTGCTGTCATATACTTCGTGTGCACTTGATCCGCCACATTCAAATCATCTGTAAACATCTACAAACAGTTCAACAAAACCAAAGCCATGAAATTAAAATTGATCTCATGAACCTCAGGTATTAGAATCTAGCTGGACTCATTTTTTGATCCAGGTGGGATCTGAGTAAATAATAGAGGTTAGCGCCCCCAGACTCCTCACCTGCTCTGGAAGTAGTTTGCTAGTTCGGATGCCTCATGGTTCAGACTCCTCAGGTGTACAATTAAATTGCCAGAGTTGGTGAACATGGCGCCACACGTTTTGCACTCGTAAATCCGCGGCTTGCGGATTATGTGTCGGGAGACCCTCATGTGGTGCTTATATTCACCGAAGGACGTGAATGTGGCGCTACAAATCTGGCACCGGAAACAGCGTTTACCTTCGTGCTTCAGCCGATGCATCTTTAGGGAGTAGGCCCGTGTGAACTTTTTCCCACAGCGGTCACACTGGAAAGGCTTAATGCCTGCAAGAAGGAGGAAAAAAACAAGTCATTCACATGTGTGGAAGTATCTGTGAATGATTGAGGGGAGGTAAGAGGGAGGTTAATGACTACGTCTCACCACAAAGCTGGCCCTGACGCAGATCTCTGTTTCCAAGAAAGCCTCCTCAATTCATCACTGAGCAATATTATATACACATCCTAGGCAAGTGTCATCGTTTAACTTTAATCTAACCTTCATTTGGATTTCCATTAAGAGTTCCACTAAGGGTAAAAATCCCTCCCTATATACAGCTTTTTTTGTGGACTCCTGATAAAAATAGAAATATTGACATGTAGTATTTGCGCAACTCAAAGACTGATAAATGTTTTACGAAGTCATTAGTCTCCATGAGTTTCTAACATAGAATTACAAGGAGCAAAACAAGTTTGATGGGAAAGACACGTGAAATCAATTTTTGTCTGTTTATAGTTTTTCCAAGGATCTTTATTTTTAAGAGTGTAATGCTGATCCAGAAAAATAGGCTTCGAAACATGTTTGTTGTCTGCACATCTTGCAAAATGACAGACTTCCCAAACTTTTACAACATCAGTTCTTGTTAAGAGTATTTCAATGACACTTCATAGATTTCATTGTGCTTATTTTACCTACCGGAGTGTATGAGCATATGCTGCTTCAGGTTTTGAATGCGTGTGAATCTGACTCCGCAGGTCGGACATTGGAACGGTCTGTCAGGGCCGTTGGTGCCAGGTCTGGCTGAGGGGCTGATGTAGAGGTGGTATGGATACTGAATACCTTCTAACCTGCAACACACACAGAGCAGTGATCCAAATTATTAAACCTGTTCCTGCTTCTCTAATATTCAAAGTGTTGCATATTTAAACTTGGAAACTTCAAGCTTTGGAAGGGTCTTTTCATGGACATCGATTTGCATTTGCAGCAGCTGACAAAAAGGATTCTGATTGGCTACATTTAGCATGTTTACATGACTGCTTTACTGCACATGTCACTTCCTAACAAAATAAACAACAACAGCAAAAAAGCTCTGAATGTGAGCAACTTAGAAATACAAGCTAGCTCCTTAGTTCTGTGTACCAAATAAATTAATGCCCCAGACTTGTGCACAATGGTTTATCAATATTTGTAAGTTTCAGCATATTAAAATATAAGAGCTGAGAAATGTTTTTTCTATTATGAAAAAGAATGTTCTTATTTTAAATTTGATGTAAGCAAAAAGTTTTTAAATGACAAGAAAGGGACAACAAACACTGAAAAAGTTGAACAGCTCTAGATCAAGATCAACACCTGGAGGAACATCTTTCCAGTGGTTTGGTTTATTTATTAAGAGGTGAGAGACTGTGAGAGACTGCATGAGCACTAATGTCAACAACTTCAGAGTATTGTTCCTCAGCATAAAACTAAAAAACAAAATGAATCACCTACAGCACATGATATATAAAAAAAGATTCAGAGGATGTAGAGAAAGCTCTCCGCAAAAAAAAACAACGCCAAAAATCAACACTGAATGGCTGTGATTATTGGCCCCTGATATTTGACTCTGTAGTGGAAACCACTGCAAAGTCTCAAAATCACTCCCACAGTTTGTTGCCGCTTCCACAAGAGCGAAAAAAAGTGTACTACACAAAGAGAAAACCATATACAACATGATCTAAAAAAGTGGGCTTCTCTAAGCCAGAGACCCTTCAAGACTGAGTCCTGAGGGAAAACTGTTCTGCGGTCTGATAAATCAAACTGAACATTCTTTTTGAAAGCCATACATAGCAAGTCCTCCCCTTTGAAGAAGACAGGGACCACCTAGCTTGTTACAATCATTTATTAATGTTTAAGAGTGAAATGTTTGGCTAGTTTACACATCTGGAAAAGCACAATATGTGCAGGTTTTGGAGCAAACCTGCTGACAGTGACTTTTCCAGGATAGACGTTCTTGCAGAAAGACAATGAAAGACAATTACAACAGCGTGGCTCTGAAGTAAAAGAGTCCTGCTGCTAAAGTCCTCAGTCTGCAGTCCTGAAGTGAATGCACTGAATCCAAAGAAAACATCTGGCCTATCACAGAATAAAAAAATACAACAAAGGAGACTCTGAACTGCTGGGCTACTGAAGTCCTGCATCAGACAGGACCAGGCCAATGTTTTACTTCATAACTACCAAAATTGGCCTCTTCTGCTCCTAATACTGTATAGAACTTACTGTGAGTGTTCCTGGCATCAAGTTTTCAATGAGTATCTATTTTTATAAAACAAAAAACATTTTTTCAGTTTTAACATTTGGTATGTTGTCTTAGTTTGCACAAATTCCTTTCAGATACAGGGTTTCAATGATTTGCAGACCATCAAAATCTGTTTTATCATCGACTCATAAAACTTAGATGTGATACAGAAACTTTGGAAACTTCAAATATTCTCTTTGACATGTCAACAAACCAACTTCCCTAATCTCCACTACTTTCATCTGTCAGTATCTGACGTTCAAAGACTTGCAGCAGAATGCTATGTTACCATGCACATAAATTTTATTGAATGTCCCGGGGCATTAACAATTCTTTGTAAAATACCACGCCATGTCTTTGCCGTTTCAACATGACGTGTAAACTAACCACCTAAACAGGTGTGGCTCAGACACCCATTGATGTGATATAGGTTTATATATTCTCCACTGCAAGTTGGAACACATCGTGATACCTTTCATCATCTTCTGCGTGTCCTCCTGTGGTGGAAGAACTCTGCATTGACGGCAAGCCCTCAGACACTCCCTCATCCATCGACCCTGAGGACAGGAAGAAAATAAATCACTCTTAGGTTCCTTTCTTCTAATTTTAAAACAAAAATAAAGAGGTCCAGATCTTAACATCTTGAATAAATTAAACAAAAATACTTAAAGTCTTTAAAGGTTAATCCCAAATTTAAGGACTGATGCTGCTGGATTTGAGTTCACTGCACTCCTGAGCAGTTTAGGAAAAAATGACAAGTTTTTCCATTTTCTTTTTATTTACAGCTGAAAAGCCTTTGAAAAGTATTTGGGCCACTGGACAACAAAACTTTCCACTGAGACAAATACAAATAAAAACTTGTAGGTGGAAGGGAGCGCTAGTTGCATGTTTTATAAGCGACACCGGTAAATAGGTCAGGACACAGCCTCTGTTATATCAGCGATAGATATGTGTGCTGATGTGTGTCTCCATCAGCAGATTTATCGTCTTTTACAGAGTATTTCTGGATGACGCAGATGTGCTTTCTCACATCCCTGATAGATATCAGGGTTACAAACGTCTTCCTATGCAACCAGCCATTTCCATAAGACAGAGTACATTATTGCTAAGGATTAATTCTAAATGCTGTGAACTCAGAGAGTAAGGAGAATAACACCACCTATAGAAGATGACTGTGGACTGATGAGCAGCTCCTCCTGGACCTGTTCACTGCCTGGCACCGTCTGCTGGTCACTCAGCGAGCTCTGGGAGGCACTGACGGGCTGCGATGACGCCTCTTGGACTTCCTCATCACTGAGACGCTCCACCTTTACCCTCACGTCTTCCTCCTCCGCCTGCACTGGCGATGACACAGCCTTGGAGCTTTCACATGTGAGGAAGTCGCTGAGCCGCCGACCAACCACCACCTCTGAGGTCCCCGGTGTGCCCTGCTCTAAACAACGAGGGCTCTCTGGGAGTTTTGATTTGTCTGAGTGGAACCTCCGGTCGATACCGAAAGGGAAAGTCCACGGGAAGGCCAGAGAGGACTCCACGGGCTGAGCTGTGCTGTCTGAGAAAGACGGGGAAGGGTTGGGGATCTGAGGGGAGGTGGTGACCATCTGTGTAGTGCATTTGAGCGGACTCTCTGGAGATGCCATTGTCACAAAGGTTTTGCGTTTCCGCCGTGATTCGCGGCATATAGGAACGTTTCTCTCCATGACGCTGCAGTCAGAAGAAACAGGCGACACGCTGCCTTCTAACGGCGTCAGGGCACAGTTTGACGAGGCGCTCTCTGGTACTGATTCGTGCGGTTTATCTGCTGCCATGTTGTTGTTGTTGTTGTTGTTCCCCGGGCTCCACAGGATGCTGGACTTCATGAACTCTGAGCATGTGCTTGCCACCGCAAACATCTGCATGTAACTTGCAGCTGCCAGAACATCAATGATGTTCTCCGTGCTGATGGAAAGAGTAGACGTGTAGGCATATTCCAACAGAGGCGCGAAGCCGCTAACAGTCACATGATGAAGGTCCAACACGAACTTGTCCTCCTCCTCCGGTCGGCCCACTAGTTTGGAGCGGAAGAATTCACTGCAGCAGGCTAGGACCACTTTGTGAGCCAGGAAGAGCTTGTCCTGGACCCGGATGGTGACATCACACAGGTGGCCCTCGTTGCGTAGGGCGTTGAGCTTTTCCAGCATCTCCTGGCTATGGGAGGTGGAGCTGTGTGTGAAAGTTTTCACCCCCATAATGGGAGTCCGTGTCTGACTGTGTGCAGGAAATGGGTCCTGGAGAGAGATAGGAGGGAAAAAAAACACTTGAGTTTGCAAAAGTTGACCAGCATGTACTGTTTATTGTGAAACATGGACAAGTTGGGGATGGAATGAGAATTTAACAAATGATAATGATTATATTGTCATTTCTTCAAGTCAACTACCTCAATGTGTCTAACAACTACCTATCAGAACAAAATCCACCCCCAGCAGTCAGAGAATCAGGGTGCAACAACAGATGTCACAGTGGACTCTTACTGAACCACTCCATTAGAAATCGATGAGTGCAAACAGTAAATGAGATGTCAAATATCACTCTATGAAAACTGGATGGAAAAAAAAGAGAAAAGTATTTTGTGGAAACAGTTGGTGCAGGCAGAGAGAAATACCAAGGTGCTCTCTGAGGGAAAGTCAAGGTGGGGGGGTGGGGGGGCTAGGACAAAATGCCAAGTTATGTAACGACAATCAAAGCAGATGCGCAGCGATGCGAGCCAGACCCATGTGGAGGCCAGTGCACTACAGGATGCTCAGCAGCTGTCTGCGAGACATGTGGATTCTCTGAGGCATGAGATTTTCCATCAAACAAAAGCCCGAGTGAAGGGGCTCTCGCAGGGGGAGCGCACTCCCCTTTCCACACACACACACCAAAGGAAAATACTCTTGGGCTATGTTGGCCCAGTAAAAGGCAAAGTGAATTATAGACATGGGCTGTGGGGTGCAACAGGAGAGTGCCTCTTCTGCACCAGCGATCAATGCAACCAAAGAAAAGATTATGGTATCTCTTTAAAGTGGATTTCCCCGATACACCAGTTTTTGTTTTTGAGTAATATAGGAACACAACTGACCAATGCTGCAAGAACCATGTAAAAACAACAACAAAAGATGATGAAAAAACAAAGATAAAGCAATGTTTTTTGCATTACTCAAAAAATTGTCTAACTTGTTGATGCTTTACTTCAATTCTCAAGTTCAGGGGAAACCTAAATTTAGGGATTTAAGTGTCAGACAAACTAACAAATTTGAAACATTTTGCCTTCATAATAACTATCTCATGATCTACGCTTAGATAAACTTAATTATGTCTGATAATTTGGTTAAAATCAGCAGTACAAAGTTAAAATTAAACACTGAACATGTATGATGGCGATGAGGCAGAAGAGGCGTATCCTTCAGCCTGATAGTTTCACTCTGTTTACATCACCTGAACACTAAGGTTAGTCTGCCATGTATTTAAGAGGACTTATTGTAAAAGAGTCAACAAAAAGTTCGTAAATATTTCTATTTATGGACATGTGCTCATATGGAGGTACAGGAGTGCTGAAATAACATGTTTGGAGCAACAACAACAGTTTGGCTAACTGTAGCGAGCAGCGTCACGTTAATACGTCAAGTACAACCGGGAGATGCGTACTATATCCGGTTTGTTGTCAAAATAAAATACAAACTGAAACGCTGTCGGAATGATACTTCATTGAATTAAGTATCAAATATACAGCTATGTTAGCATTTTTTTTCAAAGGGCTAAACATTTCTTGGCATTACCACCTTGAGAATTACAAAGAGTTCTTACATGTTTTGATTGACATTTTACGTAAGATAAACACATTAACTTACGTTCTGGTAAATTATGAACATATTTTCCAATCAAATTTTATAGACCATCTTATCATTTTTTAAAATTTGATCTTCCCTCAAAATATAAAAAAAGTTCTTTCATGATGACAGGTGTGTACTATCTACCACCAATAAACACCTTCTATCAATCAGTGTAAAGTTATAATACAGGTAATGCCTCCTATCTACAATAATTGTTTTTGACACAGTTCAGGTGACTCGCCCTCTTTCATGTGAGGCATACTATTAAATCTTTCATTTTGTAAGGCCTTAATGACAGAGTTTTAACACCCAGCTGGTATTCTGTAAATGATAGGTCTGAAATAAAACACACTGGCTATTTTAAAATATTTGTATATTTCTGCCAGGTGTTACAATTTATTTTATTTTGACTTTTTATTCAAGTTCTATATATCTCTAAATCTTCCATGCTGATTTGAGTTTGATTTTATTTTACATTGAAGTTGGATAATTTTATTTTGAAGCCAAGTATACAATATTTCCGGTTTGACTCTGCGTAATCCTGGTGATGTCTACGCTGCTGCTGCACGTTAGCTTTCTATCGTTAGCCACAGAGCTAGCGCTAGCCAACACAACACAGTGCTTTCCCACAGAATGATGACAACACAACGCAGCGACATGAAAGTGTCACCAGCTGGGATACAGTTATCCTACAGGCTGGACGGAACGGTTTACCTTTTCTGGCTGAGGCCCGGGGTAACGGCTGGGCCTCTGGATTCAAAGCAGCGACGGTGGGAGTCCGCGGTGCGCCCTGCCGCTTCACTCCCAGCTCTCACATTCCTCTCATTAGGCAGCTTTAAGCCTGCCAGCCGCCAAAAGTCACAGTTCAGCTGATGTTTACGTTAATTCACATCACAAATGGCTTAAGTGAAAGTTTTCGGGGTGCTGTTTTCATCCCTTTGTGCTCCCCGCTGTCCTTTCTGCGCTGTATTTGTATCCCCACAATGCACCGCGCAGCTGTCACGGTACTGTACTGTAAAAAAAAAAAAACAGGAAGTCTCACATTTAGCGGCAACATTGACACTGCTTACAATTTTAATGCTTAATTCAATTATTTGTATGTATTCTGTGTGATACTCACACTTTCCACAACCTGTTCTATTTAATGTAATTCAACTACTAAATGCCTCAGAAATAACAGTTACTGATCAACTTTTTTGGTAGCACAGGTGTACAAATGCTCCTTTGCTCACCCCTCCCTACAGTGGCCTTTAAGGACAGTTTTACGTGACGCATTATGACCATTATGGTTCTCACCGTCAAAATCATAGACTTTATATACTATGGACAACTTGGTTTTGCCTTCCACTAGTATACGGATTTGAAGTCTAAAAGCTCTCTGTAATTCTGAGTTTTCTCTTCATTTCCTGAAACCAACATTGCGCAGTAGCATTGTGTGCATTCTGCGGGAGAGTCGCAGAGAGTCGCTGTGATGACACTCAGCTCAAACAGCGTATCCCCGGGTGAGCTGTGTAATCTTTTTATGCCCATAGGCTGTATCAAGTGTCAATCATAGAAAACACGAACTCCCTAATAACTTTTAAAAATGGAGCTGCACAGAAAAATGAGGTCTTGAGCTCAAACCAGTCTTACAATAACTTCATGTCAACATCACAACAGGGGGGGAAAAAAATTATGTTCTATGTAAAAAATTTCTAAAGTTTGTCCACAGCCACATAAGCTTTGCTGGCAGAGGCGGGATTTATGACCTATACTGCAGCCTGTCACCAGAGGGTGCTGTTCTCGGGATGGCTTCAACCAGTGAGGAGGCAGATGGCGCCCATTCTATATACAGTCTATAGTCAAAATGCCTGACATTTCAAAATATGTGCACAACTGATGTCACTCTTCATCTTCAAACTATGTAATCACTATTATTTTTGGTTATTAAACCAATTTTAACTCCCCTGTGAACATCTCTAATGAGTCTGCTCTGCAAAATGTTGCTAAATACTCTGTACTGCACCTCCAAGTCGAAGCCTGTTGAAGGGCATCAAGATAGTACTCTTCCAAAATAAAATTGCCTGGTTCGTAAGGGTTTTATCTTGTGTTTTAGTATCTTATGTTTTGTTTATTAATGTGTTTGAACTTTGAAACAAAACCATGGATTTACCAATGTCCTCCCATTCCAAAACCTTAGCTCAGCATTTTGAAAAGTAGATCACAGCATCCTGTTTTGAGCACACAGCTCAAATTTCTATCTGTGTATTAGGAAATGTATTTTCACAGCTGCAGATATCCACTGAAACAGAAAGAGTGTGCGGAGTTCCACAAGGCTCAATCATAGGTCCTCATATATTCTTCCTTTACACATTATAATAGATTACCAGCAAACAATATCAGCTTCATGATAAAGTAAATGTCATTAGTTCTTCTCTGCTCTTGTCTCTCAAGACTTCTTACAAGTTACAAAGTAGGTTTTTATTGAGAATGCTGAAGCCCAGTGACAGATTGTGAAAAAATTAAAAGTGGCTGGGTTTAAAGGTGAGGGAACTCAGTTTTATGGAAAATCTTTGCTGCATCACTCAATTTTGGACCTTTTTGGTAATCAAAGTATTTTTCTCACCTTCTGACTGTCATAAAACTTCAAAATTCTCATACAATACAATTCAAAATATCTGAATGATCTTGTGTCGCACAAATTGAATGCTACAAGGTGGAGCTATTGCTATTTTTAACCTGTTATGATTTCAGATCTTCCAAACTCGTTTTTTACAGGAATGACATTTAAACAGGATATTGCTAAGTTCTTGTTGCTGCCTGTTTAATAAAGATTCTTCCCAAACCGCAGCTACAGGGTGTTTCATACGTCTGTATTTAGAGGGAACATCTAGGCAGCACAGTTATTCCACAGTGGGAGGATGAAATGAGCCTCACCCTGCTTTTAAAATATGCCGACCCACCTAAAAGAATTCCAGCCGTCTGAACGTCACTGTTGGGTTCACATGGGCTGCAATGGTCTGAAAGATTGCTCTGTAAAACATGGACATTTGAACATACTGTATATTTGCCATACATTCATATGCATGGTTCTCCTTTATACTTTCATATGACTGTTGATTCACATACATCTCTCTGGACACATGAACCCTGAAAAGTGCAATGTCTGTGCACAACAGAGAAAAAGTAAATGACGCGACCTTTGAGATGCTGAAGATTTAGTTTGTAAAGTTAAATAAGCTTCAGAGAGACGGCATCCTTTTTGGACATAAATGTGTTTATTTGACAATTTTATAGACAAAAATCTCAAAGACAGCAGCATCTGCCATGTTAATTACACATAAAAGGTAAAAACTTTACAAAAATAAATAGCTTAAAAAGGAAGCTGTAGTAATAAAATAGCATGGTCCTTCACTGAAGGGATATTTGGGCCTAATGCTCCATCTTTTTTTATAACATACTGTAAATTAACAACAGGAATGAAGAAATCAAATATACATACAGAAGTCTGGAAACAACGGTGAGTGTTTGCATATGATGCATTAAAATAAAAACAAAGTTGAAAATGAATAAAATCAATATTGTTTTTAGTATAGATCCTAGATTGTGTGGAAATCACCTCGAACAAGCATTCACTGCCTTGCAGTTTTTTGTACCACAGCTCCTCTCATCTGCACTTAAAGCAGCTGCTAAACTACCAAACTATTTAACTACAAGGTAGAGGGGGGTTCTCTGTCATGGGTTTTCCTTATCATAAATGACGGGTCATTATTTACACTAATTATATTACACACTGTGTAAACTCAAACTCTTTCGGTTTCTATAAATCCTACATGTCTGGTTCAGCAAAAGAACCATCTGCTCTGATTTACATTAGGCTCTAAATAGCAGAAGCCAAAGATTTTAGTCACATTTACAGTCATTGATTGTTTTCCCTACAGCTCAATAATGCCAATATTTAAAATAAAAGCAGGACATCTTTGAAAATTATCAGATATCTCATATGGGTATGCTATGGAAGAGAGGAGTAAATCTAACAGGAGCACATTTTCCCACAGGGTTAAAACCCCATCATATGTACCAACCTCAGTAACAGATAAAGAGCTTGAGGAAAGCTTAATGGGGTTTGAGTTCTGTGGAGGACACTTGGAGGTATATTTACTCTGTGCTGGTGTCAACAGCAGGTTTCATGCCATTAATCCACCCCCACTTTAAAAAAAAAAAAAAAAACAAGAAACATTGCAGATTATACCGGACTTCATACAAAATTTCAGTTTGAGGTGGGCCTCAAGCACTTCTCTTTCTGGAGAAAACACACACAGCACCTTCATGTAGCATCTATACATAGCATCACATGCACATCCTGAGGTAGATTTACACTGTTTCAACTCTCAATAGTGGTTGTAAAATGTCAACAAAAGATGACAGAACTGTATGTAGGCAAAAGCCTGGGATGTAACATGGTGTGAACATGATGAACATGGATGGATAATATCGTCACAAGCCCCTGGGCACAGACAGACAAAAGACACCAATTGCACCGAAATAGAAACTCGTTCTGAAATCTTTTCTCTTTTTATTGAGATAATTGTGTTTTTTTGTGGTCACATGTTGCTCTGCTGAGTAGCCCTGAAAGCTTCTATGCTTTTTGTGGTTGTTTTGTGTCTCTGTGGCTGTTTGGTCTGAATTAGCATATCTCTGCTCAAATTTTGTGGTGGATGTTATTGTCTCTTGGATCTCTGTAAAGTTGTGTTGTGCAATTTGTACTCATTTTAAGTGAAGCACTACCTTTGTTCTTTTTTTCATCTCTTTGTGTTCCTCTCTTTCTCATGCCTTTTAGGGCTATTTTCCATCTTATTGTCACATTAAGATCCTTTCTGGCTCTTCCTTCATGGTCTTGTTGCATCTTTTGGTGTCTCTAAGATAAAAGGCCATCTTCTATCGCTTTATAATTTATTTACATATTTTTATGTTCATTAAAAGCAGTTTGCTTTGTGTCTCTCTTTTATTCTTTTGCAGCTATTTTAGGTGTCGAATGTGGTTTCTTTTGTGTCTTTTGTAGTCTGCGCCTAGTGTGCCTGTGCTGTAATCCATCCATGTTGAGTAAGTTGAATCAGACCAAAATGGCAAAGTTCACTGTTCTCTTGTCCCTCATAAGCACTCTTGGTTGAGACATTCTCCAGAGACTGGTTCTGGCATTTTCTTTGGATCACACTTCTCTGACTCAACAGTCTTCCCAGTGTAGTCTATGCAGACGACGCTGCGACGGCGCTCACCCTGACCACAAGTTCGTGAGCAGGCAGACCAAGGCCCCATCTGCCAAATGGGGCAGGGTAGATCCCCACAGGCCTTGATGTCTATGGGCTTCAGGTTTTTGTCACACAGGCTGGAGAGGAAGCCAGCGTTGTCCCGGCATTCAACATTTCTCCTGGACCATCCAGAGCCGCAGCTTTTGGAACACTCAGACCACTCCCCCAGCACCCAGTCAGGCACGCCAAATGGATGGATCATATGCAAAGATGGTGACGAAGCCTTCTTCTCCTTGGACTTGTTGAAAGACACATCTTTGGGGATGAAAAAGGTATATTTGACCTTTGGAGGATTGGCGTCTCCAGCTGTAGCCAAGATCTGGATGGTGATGGCCTCCTCCAGCTGTCTGAAGCTCTGGATCCTCTCCAGCGTGGTGGAGGAGCCACTGTACTTTAACACAGCACCCAGCACAGGAATGTCCTGCTCCACCGTGGACACAGAGAAGTTACCATTGAGGATGTAGCTGCCGCTCTCTCTCTTTACAGCAAGGTAGTTCCCATCATGTTTGACTCTGCCGTTGCTGCGCTGCTTGATGTCAATGTTAGTCGCTCCAACTGGAATCGTGACGATATCACTGTATCCATAGCTGGTGGAAGAAAGAATTGGAATTAGAAAAATATCAGGTGATTTCAGTCCAAGTGTGGGACTAAATATTGGTGTAGAAATATAGTATACAATCATTCAGATTCATTTAATACAGCTATAGCATCACTAATGTTGAATATTAATATTCCCTTTCAATTTGACTCAGTGTCATTGCTTCATGAAACCTCATGCTGGCATACCTGACATGAATCCGGCAAATTAAAATGTTTTTGTGTCCTCTTTGAAGAGCCATGATATATGGTACCTTCTCATTGTTAAATATCATATTGTACAGTATAGTATTTCAGCATAGTGTGTTGTATCGTATTGTATCATATATCGTATTATATATTGTATTGTATTGTATTGTATTGTATTGTATTGTATTGCTAATCAGAGGTTAGGCTTGTATTAAACTTTAAGCCGAGATGAATATAAGGGGGGAAAAAAACTGTATTTTTTAACATAATGCAATGGTCTACCAGTTAGAGTAATATGACGAGGAACAAAGCCAGGCAATAACTTTCTTTGGTAACACTCTTTCTGCTTTGTAAACAGACTTACGTTGCTTTGTTGTAGGAGCCTGTGATCTTCCTACAGGTGAGTCCACTTCCTCCACACACCCCACACTTATCCACTCTCTTGTTGGAGCCGATCACCTGATCGCAGCCTGCCTTCACACACTGACCTTGGACACACACAGAGGTAGTGTCGGGGCCACAGGTCGTCCCATCAATCACCTTTAGGGACACAACAAGTAAGTGTTATTGATTCTGAAGCAGCAGTTAGATTCACCTGCATCATGCAAACTGCTTAGCTGCATCTGATCACAGTTCACACAGAGTTTTCAGTATTTTGCAGAGTGGAGTCATAGCTTAAGGTGAGTAAAATTTGAAGAAAGTTAAATATGGACTTAAGTTACATTATTTTTTTAGACTGTTGTACTCTGTACATAGGGTGTATGACAACCAAGTCTAACACTAGCCCCTTTAATACTCTGGTCATTACGCTAACATTAACTCTTCAAACTGCTTCCCAATGTAGCACAGCTAAACTTTGATCATCAAAAATAATGTACTGTCAGGTATAAGTGAGTTTAAAACATCAAAATGAATCACATTTGAACCAAATGGACCAAAATATTATTTATCAGAATTGAGGTGCATCAGATCAGTAATCAAAGACCACAGCTGTACATACTGCGAGGACATACCTTGGATTCAAACACCTTGAATTCACTGCTGCCTCTGGCTCTACAGAACAGTTTACACCGGTCTCTGGGAGAGACACCAGCGTACTTCGGTATCCACTGTTTCATGTTCCCATTGAAGTCCAGATAGTTCGGGCTGTTATATTTCTCACACTGTTCCTCTCTGAAGCTCTTCCCTAAGAAGGTACAAAAGGGTTTTGAGTGAAGGTTAAGGTCTTTAAATTCTGAATTCAACAGAGGACTACCAAGATTATATGATTAATGTTACACTATAAAGAATGATAAGAGAAAGTATAGGATGCAGTATGTTTTGTTTTCAGCCAATGTTGGCTTGTAAAACAAATGTGGAATAGAAGAAGATTTATGAGCACCAGCTTTTATCCAAAGTCACAGTTAGATTGGATTTCCCAACTAAGACACTAAAAGTAACATCGTTAGTTTCTCAAACATCATGTACCACTGACCACGCTGTACAGCTTAATAGCAGCTAAAAATCTAGTGCAGTTTGGAGAAGGTTTATTTGCTTCCTTGTTTGGTATATTCAGTACAGTTCAGGTCGGAGGTACCTCTGAAGCTGTGCTGAAAGAAAAATAATTTTTTAATAAAGCAAAATCAGGTTGAAATGGTGTATTGAAAAGGCATCGTGTTTGCTCTGTTCATGAGTCGATACTACATGAAGACTCCCTTTTATGGAAAGCATGATGTAGGCTTTTCCTGAGAGTTTCAAGTGCATAAGTCGTAACATGTCTGATGAAGTTTCGACAGCAATAGCAGAATCCAATTTGTCAGTGGGTGGAGAGTCAATACTCAGTATTGTTTTTTAAACAGCTGATGCCAATACTTAGAAGGTTGGTTAAAATTCAGAATATTTAGGTACAATATCATGTTTTTTTTTAGATTTGATAAAAAAATACAAAAGCTTTGTTAAGATAGAACCCATTATGCCTTGCACATTACAATCTAGTATTGTAAAAACTTGATTAATTTAGCCTGTAACATGTATGATTATTGCTTCATTCATAAAGTAGAAAAATACACTTGATCATGCTGCAGATTTCAGAACACATGATAGTAAACTACATTAGTTTTTACATCATAACAGCAATCATATTGAACATCAGCCAGAGACTCTTCTAGATTTGACATGCTGTCATTTATGGAAAAAACAAACTGTTATTAATCAGGGAGATGTTAACATCCCTCAACAGCAGTCCCACTGCTGGGGCTGCCTGCAGTGTCTCAAGATATTGTTTGAGCACAGGCATCAGCCAATGCTGATTATTTCAAAATACCAGTAATAAAGCCAAATTCATTGGATTACTTTAAAATACCATTGTATTTTGTCTGTTTTATACGACTCTGTAATCATTTTGCTAAAACAACAACCCCTCTTTTGTCATGCAGATGAAATGTTAACACTGTGTTTTCCAGCAGATCTTTTAGTATCTGTGATATTGTTGCTAAATAAAGGTGTTCCTGTTGGGCTACAACTCAGTTACCAAGACTCTCCTGAACACAATATGAATTCACAAGTGTAGTATATATGGTTTAACTTTGCATCAGAATAAAGTTAAAATTTGTCAAATCAAGAAAATGTGAACAATCTTCCTTCTTTGATTCATTTTTCTTGTTCACGTCAATAATTTGTCTCTGAATGTGTTTGATTGATTAGGTAAGAAATTGATAAAAACTCCTTCCTTCTTTCCTTCTGCTGGCTCTCACCTTGGTTGTTGTCACAGGGCTGTGTGTTACAGGACTGGTACTGAACCCTCTGTCCCTCACAGTACTTCCCTCCGTTCTGAGGCACCGGGTCAGTGCACTCCCTGTAGGAGAACTCCACCCCTCCTCCACATGTTCTGGAGCACTGCTGCCACGCTCCCCACTCACTCCAGCCGCCGTCCACAACCACCTGTGGTCAAACACAGCAAGAAAAGAGCAGTCAGAGTGGTTGGTTAGAGCTCAGCGCCAAAGGCAATCTCAGCTGTGTAGCCTCGACCGCAGTCTGGCTTCTGGGTTTGAGGCCGCACAGTGTGTTGGCGGGCCGACACTCGGGGCTAAATCTGTGTTGAAGTTCGGCACGCGCCTGCTGTCTGCCTCTACCCACATTCCTGCCACATGTGTCACTCACCACTAGTAGAAGCTGCCCTGCTGCAGCTTTGTAAAGCAGAATTTAAAGTGAGCGTGTGTGTGTGTTTGTGCAGTTGCCAGATTGGGTGTCCTTTCCAGAAGTTTTTACGAGTTTGGATCAGCTAATGTTCCAGCTGCCAGCACGTCTGGCTTCATAAACAGATGTGTGATCATAACACAAGGAGAAGATATCAAGGCAACCGAGCTGAAATGAAACACTAAGATGTATAAATGTTCTTAAAGGAAATATAAAAAGGCATCGAGTAGCAGCTGGAATTAAACTAAGCAGAATCCAATAACGCTGTGATCTGTACTTTTACCCTCCATGCTTCATTCATGCACTTCTGATCCAAACAACACAAGGAGCAGAACTTAAAGCGATCAAACATGTACAAACTGAGACACTGACCAGAGTTCACCTTAAAGGTTTTCAGGATATTACAGTGTACTGTGTATTTTTAATCCAAGCTCAGAAATTATGACCTCTAACGTGATGCAAACCTGACAGCATTTTTCGTAAATCAGTAAATTTCAAAGGTTTTTGTCCTTAAACAGCTGATTACTGTAGGATGTTTTATATTTCTTTGTTGATCTAATCAAGAAACTGAATTAAAGACATCTTAAGCTGATTCACATAATTACATTTCAAACAATAGGAAGCAACAGTGTCCAGTGTGTAAACTGTCGTCCTTACTTCCTGAACGCTCTGCAGCTTTTGATCAAATCACAGTGTTTTTCCACTGCTGTCATCGGGGTCAAAACTGAACTTGAACTAAAATCTTAATATTTTTTCAATTAACGCCATTGAAAACATGCCAGTCAGCAGATTTGCCAAGTACATGTGAATTTACACATAGAACAAAAGCTGAGGGTCTCTGGGATTCATTTAAATGCTAAAAACAATCACAAACAGAGACAATAAAAAAGAAAACTCAGCTTTCCTTCAACCTGCTTTCACTAAAGCTGTTTATAGACATGCACTCTGGAAAATTTCAGGGGCTCTTATTTCAGCAGGAAGTCTCTACTGTCAGGCAGATACAGGGGTTTTTGGGAGATACCTAACCCCAACTATGATTACAGGTACTGATCCCACAACATAACTCTTCCATAAGTTTTAATTCACCTTCAGTCTTGACCTCTTTGTTTTTATTTCCCTCTCAACCCCCAGAAGATGTCTCTGATTATTGATCCACTGCTGTGTTATTGTGAATGTTTGTTATAAACTTTACATTTTTACACATGGGCTTGAGCAACATTTTTTAATCTTTGTGTCAACGTGATGAGTAATGGGACGTGTCCACAATATCAACAGATTAATGACATACACTACTGGAGGGGGGAAGAGAATACGAGACATTCTCACTACCTTTGACATTGTTTTTCATTCTTTTATGTGCCTCCCCTTTGGGTTTCAAGGAAATATAATAAGGAATAGAGGTATACCTCCATTGGAAATACTAAGTGGTACTGCGCATATGCTGAGCTATTATTTGATAGAGGACGTCAGCCTCAGGAGGTAAGCCTCTCTTCAAATCTTTATGATGGAATCAGAAATAGAGTATCAAAACACACGTCTACATCTCTGACAGTACAAATGGAGAGTGGGGTTGGTGGTGTGATATAAAGTGAGTGTATTAATGGATATTGGTGCACTAAATTACACTCCACCTAATAAAAGTCTCATATTAGGTTACTGACCCATGCTGCCTTATTCTTAAAGTACATGTATCCCTGTTTATTTATGACCCGAGACTTTAATAAATAGAGCAAAAGTGTGATTTCCATGTGTGCTCCAGCAGCTTTTTTTTCAACCAAGTGGAAAAACTAAACAGAACACCGGCCCAGACCCAGCACAAAATCATTGAGAAAATACTGTTTGTCAGGCAATGCAAAAAAACCTGCCTTTATCCTGTTTGTAACTAATACAGATTAGAGTATCAGAGCACTCTGAGAGCAGGTAAAGAAGAAAGAACGCATTTATGGTTGTAAACAGGGCAGATTATTGCTAAAATCTATAGAGATGATAGTCAATGACCTTTGATAAAAATGATTATTTCTCCTGTCCCTCTCTCTCTCTCTAGCTGCTCACATCTTTGTGCAGAGGTGTGCTTTTTTGCCTTGTAAACAAGAACCACATCCAGCAACCTGCACACAGAGAATGATTTTATCATACAGATGTCAGGCAGGCAGCAGTTTCAATGAGTTTCTGAATCACTCCTGGTGGACTGTCGCCACTACAGAAGATGACAAACCTGCTGAAAAGTGTTTGTCTTTACACATAACTCTCACCCGGGTAATTTAAAGACTTTATCTCAAACTTTGTGCATGTCTGAGAGGTACTCAAGAAATGATCAAGAGAAGCAGCCTTACCAGTGGCTCCATCACCTCCTGGGTGGGCATGCACTCTCCATGAAGGCAGGTCCCATTGAGGCCACAGGAGGTACCGTCAGCCCAGGGCAAGCTGCCGTTCTTGGTGGAGCACTGCATGGTCCCATCCTCCTGACACCACAGCTGACTGCAGATATCACTGTCAGAGGTGTTGGGACAGTGGATGAACTCCTCTCCAAAGATCTGCTGGCACTGCTGGTCCAGACTGTACTTGGTGCCTGGCAGCTCTTTGGGCAATGACATGGTGTTCTCCGGGACGTCCAGCAGGCAGTCCCCTACGATTACAACAGAAAATGACATTTTATGAGGCTGATAAGTTTGTGATTTATGGAGATTTTGGCACAGACTTTTCTAAATGTGTTGCTCCTTATGTGTGACATGACAACAGATGAAAAATATTCAGGTCAAGCTGTGTCCAGACTATAAATATAATTATTAAATTTCACTAATAGGGTGCAGTTTTACAGGCCGCCTCATGCTCCAAATCTGGACTTTCAACAGCTTTTCTAAATCCGAACTTCTACATCATTCCGCCAATGATTGTTTTTTTATATTCAATAAGTTTTTTGTCTACAGTCGTCTATGACGTCTATAGCTTGGAATCAGCATCCTCTACCAAATTTGTTTTCAGCCGGAGGCTTTTCCCCGACTGATAAAGAACACATTCTGCTGACACCAGCTGTTGCTCTTGGCCAAGGAGGTGAAGAACAGGAAGAAGTCCATCATATGACTCATTGGAAAAGACAGTTCACTGATAGGTCTTGCAAGGCTACAAACAATGCAAGATGCAAAACACGAAAAACTGAGGGTGAGGCAAGGACAAAGAAACAGGATGGGAGAAGAGGATTTGGAAAGAGAAGATGTGGAAATCTAGGGCAAGATTAACCATCCGTATAACCCATAATTCCAGGGCAGCAACATGTTTAAGCAGGAAAGCCATCATTAGAGCACAAGAGGTCTACCAGTATGTTTTATTCATCTGTGAATCAGCTTTAATGACGGAGCCACAGTGTCGTGGCAGACGTCCATATTGGCAAACAGCCACTACAGGGCTTCTCACTTCATGATTTATCCACAGTGTCATTCAAGTGAACCTGATGTATTTCCTACCGTGTCCGTTGTCAAAGAACTCCGTGATGTAGAGAGCACTGCAGGGAGACCATGGCGCCGTCTTGTTAAGGCTGACAAATAGAGGAGCCATCAGGTAATGTCCTCCCAGATCCCCGAACAGCTTTTCACAGGTCTTAGAGTCATCATGAGGCATACTTAACACATGACCTGCAGAGGAAAAGGATGCAATAATTATTCACTATATTGACAAGGTGCCTATTTTGTTCAGCCAAAATAAGGCTGAAAAGCTTAAATGCTGTCTGCTCCTGTAATGCTGTATCCAAGGTGTGCAAATTCTGCACTCTTAAGGGAAATTTGAGGAATCGCTCGAATCTTTGCCTCAGGACTTTTGCCCACCATCACAGCTTTTTGCACTGGCAGCACTTGTTTTCTATTCAAACTAAACGCATTTCCGTCTTTTCAACGCTCAGTGACCTTAAGTGCAAAAACAGATTTAAGTTGGGTTTTTTTTGCACTCACAGAACTTCAGTCAAAAACACTTCAACTTTTGGAAGACTTTCATACTCATCGATGGGACTTCTACATCACTGGCCAATCAGAATCAAGAAGGGATGGGATTTTTGATACCAGCTTTGCCAACAACAACATTGCTGGTCTGCATGGTGGAAAAACTAACCACACTTGTTTTTGCAAGGTCAAAGTCTCAAGTCTAGAGCTGCAACTGATGCTAAGACATGATTTCAATCAGATATTTCATGTTTGTCTTGTAGAACATCACTGAAAGAAAGCAAAGCATGCAGAGAGTTTCAAAACAGACTCCTGACAAAGGAAAGACAGTGCAGTGGGATTACATTAGTGGTCTAATAAGAGTTGGTGAGAAGTGCTTTGGACTTGAGGTCATGGGGACAGTCAGAGCACAGATCTATGTTAATGGACTTAAAAACTATGCATAGTGAAAAAAAAAGGAGACTGGCCTAAACTTGACCTCTAAACCTCTTTAATAGCTTCGTGTGATTTTAAGAATTTGAGTAAATCTTGCACCTGTCCGATATTTGAGCTGTTTGCAATTTACTATTATCCAGGATTATGACAAAATACCATTATCTTGTGATTTGAAACTTTGCATACATATAGTACTTCGTAACATTGCAGTATTTGTTGTAAATGAGGAAGAACATAATATTTGTGTTTTTAAACTACCTGCAAACCTTAATGTAGCAGCACCACGTGGTTTAGGAAATAGCTGCCATGTGCACTACATCCATTGTGCTGATTCAATCCGTGATTAAGAGTAATAAAAAAGATGACTAAGCCAAATAATTTACAGGCGGTATATGATTCTTACCCCAAGGTTTTATGATTGTTATTATCATTTCATAACTGACACCCATGACAGCCCACTCATAAGATAAGATAAACCTGTGCACTAACCGAGCTCGTGTGCTGCTGTGAAGGCAGCTTGCAGTCCGTTATCCTCGATGACTGAGCAGCTTCTCTTGGGGTCACACATTGTCCCAACATCGGCCACACCCAGTGTGTCGCAGCTTCTCTGTCCACATATGTTCTGCAATACAGACACGGAAAAAACAGAAACCGGATTACTCCAGGTCTAATGAAAGCCCCAAATTGTTGGGTGATTAGCATTGTTGTTGTAATGTTGATTTTTGTCTGGTATACTATTAGTACAGAGTAAAATCATTTAAATCATTGAGCATGTAGCATAATAAAAGCTTTGTCACTGTTGTTTAGATCACAATCTTCCATCTTTGAGTGAGTTTGTTACTGTGTGCCACACAGATTGTGTGCACATTTCGTGCTAAAAATACTCCCAGACAGCTCAGTTGACAAGTCAAAAGTAATTTGGACTTTAAATTCAAACTAAAATATCACTGAGGTACTTTGAGTTTGAGCTAACATGTATGTGCAAAGCAAACAGTTATAGCTAGTCAAAACAATGTCAGAAAACTGAGCACAATTTTGGAATAAAGTTGCTGAAGCTGTTCTTCACCCTACAGTTATTTGTATCTGTTATCTGATTTCAGATAACGCTGGTGTAGCAGTGCAGCATTTATTCAAATGAGAAATCTAATAGTCAGGATAATATCATAATTAGATTCCCAAATAACATCACTGAACAAGAACTGCTTGGCATTCTTAATACGGACTTAAAACTGCTTCATAAGTAAAATAACAGAATCTTTAACATTTAATTAAATTTACCAGGACTAAATGCATTATTCATTTGATAGCCCTGGTCTCGATCCATTTGGTTTCTTCTATGTAATCTAAGAGGGTTAGGGGTACATGATTATGCATGTACCCACAAAAGTACATGCATAACCACAAGGCAAAGTGACATACCAGCTACTTAACCGTCAGTGTATAACATTAGTTTCAGATCACAGACACAGCAGCACATGATGGTGAGCAGTGAGGTACAGTATAACAGTGAGAAATGATGTGTACATTTGCAGAGTGGTATCTGCCAGTGAGAGAGAGAAGACACAGACTATTTTTATGCGCCATAAAACAACAGAGCCACAGCAGCATACCAAATACCAACACTGACATACCAACTCAAATCAACTCGTGCCACTGGAACAAAAGCCGACTAACACGAGCCACATGAGTCTAACAAAGAAAATACATTCTTGTATTTAATCCAATTCAAGTACTTAGTTCAAATTGGTTACAGTTAGGCTATTATCATAAATGATCAGGGAAGTATTGAGCAATCCTCCAGTGACAGACTTTACAGTAATCTACCATTCATGATCAGTTGTTTGGGTGCACTATGAAAGAGTTAAAGCCATTATCCTGTCGGAGCAAATTTAGGGAGTGTATGGGCAGCTCTGAGTGACTGTTTTATTAATCAAGTCGGACTGTAGACCTTCACCATCTATTTACGTCAACTTGTTTTTCTGCCATTTTTGGGAGAACAAATCAAAAACATGTTGTTCAGTGTTTCCATCATAAAACAAAGCAAATAAATATTCTCAGCACGCACCGTCCAGAGCTAGGAGGTGGTAAAATGAACAGTGTTTTGTATTAGAAATGTTTCCCCACTTAAGGAGAGGCTTAGCAGTTTAGGATGGGGATAGACGCATCTGTGGCCTCGACTCAGCCTCAAAAACCACAAGGCAGAGTCCTCTGTGATTGGAAACACATCTGGACCTGGAGCTGCCGTTTAAACACAGCTCAGCGTGTGTTTGTACACCTTGTTCCACAATAGCCTCCATCAGTCATGTGTGCAGACGAACTGACAAAAGGTAAAGTGTAAGGGTCACAGCATTATCTTCAGTTTTGCATTTGCAAGCAGATGTGCAACGACACAAATAGAGAAGGAGACCACAAAAAATGCATGAGAAAAATGTTTCCACTACAAGAAACAGAGGGTTAGTTTAGAGTTTCACAACAGGCAGTAGTAGCAGCAGCCTTCTCTTATGACTGTGGCAGACATGGCACACATTTCAACCCTGACCCTGCCGCACACTCAAACCCTGACCATTTAGAGTGGGGGCACTAAAGTTAGCTCATCCAAGAGGAGCCTTCTGTCCTCAACGTTTCAAAGCATGTCTCTGCGGAAATGGAAAAACACACATAAACCAGGTTTGTGTGAATGATGGTTTCCCCCGATTGAAAGCCGCTGCAACAAGTCTGCAAAAACCCCATATGCTGTATTCATCATTTCCCCAAACTAGGGTCAGATTTACATGCTTACGTCATTCAGTAGGCGGATAAATACCAAACCTGCCATCAATCACGCTACGAACAGCAATGCACTGAGCTATAAAAGCGTAATAATAGAGAGGTTTCTCGCCTAATGTATTGTCTGCTAACACCTTGTCAACGTGCACATACCAGAGGGAGGACGGCAGCCAAATACAGCAGAACAAGCCAATCAAAACAAGAACCCTAAGGACTCGTGGACTTATTTCCTGTTGAAGCATCCATAAAGCACAGTTTGTTTGTTCTCTGTTGACATTCACCCCGCTTGGGAAAGATTACAACTATTCCATCTTGTAGATCCTTTTTCAGCACCTTAACTCACCCTTAGGGCTAAAAAGGCTTCCCTGAATTTCCTCCTTTTTCATCCCCTTCTTTCGTCTCAAACTAGTGTATCTAAAAAATCACTCAGCTGGGGTGTTGATTTCCAGCTGAGGCCCCACACACTTTACCCAAATTGCACCTGTTTTACTCAAAGGCACTTTGGTTTCAAGTAATTGTTGTGCGGTCGAGTCTGCAGCTTCTGAAACCACATTTTGTACCGCAGCTGGACTGAATTCCAGCCGTGCTTCATTGGTGACTCATCCTTTCTTGAGTATTGCCGACTCAATGGAGCAAAAATACACCAGACAACATGAGTAAGTGGACTTCCTTTTCGTATAAATTAACAACCTTGATGAGTTTCATTTGTGCACAAAACAGTCCTAAGATAACAGTGACCAGAAGTAAGACTCAACTTGAAACAAACTGAGAGGAGAACCAGATGACAGCCTGATGACTCAGTTTTTTTTTTTTTTTAGCTCTTTGGTAATTTGAAGGCGTGAGTCCACAACAATATGAAATAACACATGTTTGATTTATTGAGGTCCTTATTAAGTTGTTGTGGCTTTCAGTGGTATTTAAAACTTGCTTGTTGTAAAAAAGTTTACGACTCCAGTCTGTCCCAAGAGCCATCAAAAAAGTACATCATTATTTTTCAGGGGGCGGGGCTTAACTACTTGGGGGCAAACTTGGGACAGACTTAACACTTCCAAGTTTTTTGACTTGTGAATGTCTTTAAGGAGAGTTTAAAAAAGAGTTTATGCTATAAAGATGAGGCAGTTCAGGCAGACAACCAAACAAATTGGTAGATATTGGTGACACACCTTGCAAAGCTAAAGCGAGTTGATATTTCTTTGGTGTTTGTCAGGCGTTTAACCATTGATAGTATAAAAACAGCACTTGGTGATCTTAAATGAATGTGAAAAAGCACGACACTACTGTCTCTCTTTATATATAATATGGTGTTCCCCAAGGATCAGTTCTTGGGCCACTACTGTTGTCATATCACTGATGCAGAGAAACACACAAACAAGTATCTTTAATCTGAACTTTGATTGATGCCTGAAACACTACAAGCAGATGATGCTATGTTTTATGGCAGGAATCTCCACAGGCTATTTGGCAGTTTTGTAAGAACTTGAACCAGGTCTGTACTTGTTGCTCACCTCTCTGGTGAAGAGCATGGCCGTGTCATAGTGTTCTGGATGTCTCTGGCTTGGGGGGTTGAAGAGCTGCTGCCAGGAGCAGAAGTTCCTCAGAGCCACGCCTCCGTTGCTTGAAACCTCAGGGCCGACCTCCTCATCCTCCACCACCAGCATCTTCACCAACACAATGTTTACAGAGTTCTTAATGCTGGGGTGTTTGTACAGCTGAGCGGCCATCGACATCAGGGTCAGAATGTAGTGCTGAGGAGGAAGAGGAGGAGAGACAGTGCAAAACTTTAAAAACATTGACTTATGTGAGAAGGAACTGTACATGAAACAGCTTGGACAGCTCAAAGACACACTATGGGATGACTAAAAAGACAAGGCTGAGAGTGAGAATGTTCGGGGCATGCAGTGCTGGTAGCTTTTTTTGCTTGATATTGTGCTGTATTCCTGCCTAACACTGATATTTTGCAATCATAAATCAGCTAATAACCAAGATGTCTACACCTCGGATAAAACTGACCTGTGCTTCATATCACAGACACTGTGCACTAAACTAAAACTGGGAGCTTAGTAAGATTTATGACTCCTGCAGAAAAGTGATTGCTGAAGTGAGTGTGGCCTCTGAAGCTGATGCATGATAAGAATTATTTTTCGACCACCAACCACTCTCTTTATCTTCTGTCTTCTAGTTGATGCATTTCAAGTCTATGCTCGTGGTTGGTCCCTTCTGTGCCAGTGTAGAAACATGGTGAGCAAGATTGCGGCCTTCATAGAAAGAGACATGATCTTTTGTGGATGTAAAGACCCCCAAAACATTCATATTCAGGTTGTTAACCACTAATCTAAACATACTTACAATAGTTATCATCCATTTCTACCAAATCTGTTCTACAAGACATGGTTAAATATTGTCAAACTGCACCTTTAACCAAAAAAATTACACAATACGGTCCAAGAATGAATATTTTTTATTATTTATTTGATTAATCTGTGTGCCAAAGCAGGTAGGAGGGTTTTCCCCCTTAAGAAATTGACCTGAAATCTCCTTCTGGCCCAATAAATATCCTGTTGCCCTTAAAGGAAATGAGAATAGCAGATGTGACCAGTCATAACAGAAGTCTGAGGCCACCTGTATTTTTCCGACTAATAATATTGTGTTTGCAAACCTCTGTAGGATGAAGTATAAGCCAAGATTTTCGAACACTTGTTTAACACAAACGTATTTTCACCAACAGCTTCAGTTTAGAGGCTTTATTTAAGTCCTCGCTTATTTCAACATCTTGAGTAAAATGACACATTACTATAAAAAGCTTCATCCCTGTGCTTTTTTTGGTCGGTGATTGTGTCATGGAAGTGACGTGCAGCTTTTCCACAGGGCTGTCAAGATGTTGTGTTTTAGTGGAGTGCTGGTAAATCACTGTGAATGTGGGAGGGTTGTGCCATGATGTGTATTGTAAAGTCTTCCATCAGCTGTGCTGAACTCACTTTTTCTTGGGAGGGATAATTTTCCCACATAAAACAGTTTTTTCCACATGTGTTGCACACACACGCTGAACACACACACACACACACACACACACACACACACACACACACACACACACACACACACACACACACACACACACACAGATACTTATTGGTTTCAGCCTGAGACCTCCAAACCACTAAAACTGCCCCCACTTACAGGGAAAGAGACGTGATTCAGAATAAAACAGGGATATAAAGTTGATCAGTTTGTCCTCTCTTTGTATGGCCTTACTTTACTTTTTTACTCCTCACAAGAGTAGAGTCTGGCAGCTGAGGAGCTTGTTAAGTACAAACAGACAAGAATTTGGCTGCTTCAGACTGTGCCAAGATCATAAACGGTCTTCCTTTTTTAGGAATTTTAGCTCCAGAATAACACAGGATGGATATTTATATGTATCTTTACATAAGATCGGTGTCCATCATATTTTGTTCATTTTAAATGTTGGATTTTCTTACAGGAAACAGCAATATAATGAATTCTTAAAACTGAGTCAAAGTAGCATCAGATGGATATTGTAAGCCTTGTGAATCTTCCCTGCATGATGCTGAGGATCTGCTGCCAAATCGTGTCCAAGTCCTGAGGAATGTGCTCCAGCATTTTCTGCATTTCTTTTGCCTGACCTTCTTCTGTGGAAAACAGGGAGCACACTAACTTCCTCCCATGCTCTTTCTCTGCCAAAACATGTTTTTATGAAACAGCTAATTCCTCAGAGTAATTTTCTGGGCTGTAAATCCCTTAAGACAGGATAAGGGAAAATTTAGAGGGAAAAAGATGACGTCTTCAGCAGGGTTTTTTTTCCCCAATCAAAACACGAACCCGGTCTAATCTTCCTAATTCATCTATGCTGTGTCAAATATTAACAGTGTGTGCAGGAAAGAATGAGTTCATCATGTCTGACCTTTATTTCATCTCCATAGAAGTGGGTCATGGTTGAGTCTGCCACCACCAGGGTTTCAATGAACCGTGGCGCGGAAACAAAGCGTCTCCGGCGAGGTTCCCTCCGTGCGTCATTGTCGCTGTGCGTAAAATTTTCCTCCTCTTGCCTATCCACTCGGCTGTCCAATGCCGCGTGATCAAACAGGAGGGGGACACCTTTGCTTGGAGTGAATGTCCTCCTCTTGATCACATGCTGCTGCTCTGCAGAGTCTGGCCCCAGGCTGCCTCCAAGTTTGGGCGCAATTAGATACTCTTTACCCTCCGTTATGAAGGAGCCAAAGATGCCCGAACACAAGCTGACAGACACAACAGAGTTCTGATCGTGATCCACGTTTCCAGAGTAAAAACAGCTTCTGAGATGTCCCTCACTCTCCGCGGTCTGGTTCATCAAAGTCCGGAGACCCATGGCAGGTTGGCCACCTGAAGCGCCGCGTAAAGCACCCACATCTCTGGCTTTGATGCGCTGTATAGTGAAGGAAGGTGCGATAAAGGCGGTATCAGGAAAGAGATTTAGAGTCATGTCTTTGCCAAATGCGCTGAGGATAAATCTCGGCTGCTCCTCACTCCTTTTCCAAAAGCGACCTCTGAGTCTTCCATTTACCCGAACAGGTACAACATCCTCTGACTCAAATGGAGTGGAGAGTGCCGCGTTTATTACGCGCAGGAGTAAAAAGACAAAACACAGAGTTGAACACATCTTCTAAAAGTTGAATTGCAACCAAAAATTGTAAAAGTTCGTTTTAATAATGTCCTTATGAACTGGGTGTCGATTCCAATAAAGAGATAATCTTAGAGAGTCTCTCCAAATCGAAAGTGGTTTCAGTGCTGTAGAGTCAGTCTTGGTCATCAGAGTATGACTAATATTGAACTTCAGTCCGTCGGAGTTGTCGTCTCTAGTCCTCTATCCAGGCTAAGTCTTGTTGTGCCACTCACCAGCACCACTGCAGTCTGGACACATCGGGGGTATTTATACTTTCTGCTCTTCCCTGACATGAGGGGGTTTATTTTTGATATCCTCCGTTGCTGGAAATTCTCCTCCCACTCTCGTACTTCACGAGACACTCGCAGATAAAACGGATCCAATGAGAATAGACCAACACTCCCCCCTTCTGAAATAGCTTGACAGCCGTGCTCCTATTATTAACCCAGTGTGCCAGAAGACAGCGGCAGGACATCTATACTACGCATAGCTGGGAGCCCGCTATTCGAGTTATTTCAGAGGGGTGTGTGAGTGGCAGGCCCCCACAGAGCCCGGAGTAGCCTACCCCCAAAGGCCGAGCTGCTCTATTCCCACACAAAAGACCACCGCTGGAGGGAGAAAAGCTCTCTCTCTCTCTGTGTGTGCATGAACAGACCACCACGCTGAGAGATGTTTCATCAGCAGTGGAACCATCGGAAGAATATCATCACTCAATATATTTTTCGCTGCATAATCCACAAAGAAACGATGATTATTGTGAACCAAAGAGCCTTTACAAAGAAAGCAACGTTGTGCATTAAAATAACCCTTTAATTAAAGAGCAATGACTCATCAAGCCCTAAACCTAAAAATAAAATCTAATTATAAACAGAACGAAACCAGAAAATTCCCACTCATATTTACATCCTGCATAAAAAAAAAATCTGTGTAAAAACTCATTCATAGTGTTACAGATTCCGTAAAGACATCTGGTGTAACTTATCATAAGCCTTGATGCGCGTTTTCCATGTAAAATTAGTTTGATACCAGGAGGTGTGCCAGGAGAATGTCAGTACTGTAAATAATAACGATCATCCAGAAGATGTAGTTACACTCTGTCACCATGAGATGGCGCCAGAGAAAAACAAACGTCTCCGTGTACTTTGCTGAACAGAAACGACCGTAAACTTGAGGTGTCGCTCTTTGCCTTCATTTCAATTTAAAGCTGTCTTCAACCCACTCACATTTTCTCAATAGTTTTATGCAGATAATCATGTTAATGAACTCTCACATGAACACATCCTGCGTGTGTTTCTAAGATGGTTTACTGTCTTCTCTTAAACATGTTACTCCTGTGAGTGGAAGCCATTGTGGCTGCTGGGCATAAACACGTGTGTAAAAGTATAACCATCAATGACATAAATCAGACCACAGCAAGTAAATAGATAATGAGCAGAGGTACCTTGTTTGGAACTGTTTTATAATATTTAAGGAGTGAGAGAACAAGGATCATCTTTTCAATTAATGCCCAACAAAATTTAAATAAATAAGGAACAATGCAACAGCTGTTCAAATTTTGTTGTTTGTTTATTTCTATGTTTTCTGTCTACTTCATGTATTTGATTTATAACAAATATGTGGAATAAAAGGGGGAAAAAGGTGCTCATGCAATTGAGGTCAGAGTGAATATCTTAAAATGAAAGCCCAAGGAACAGGATGGAGCAACAGACACACTAACAGACTGAAAGAGACAAAGGACTAGGTAGGTAGGAGTTTGTGCTCACTGTCACAGAGGATACATCACTGTGTAAAAACAATACTTTTTACATATAGACAAAGCATTTTCAACAATATTTTCCTCCCTGTACTGGACACATTTCACTTCTTGGAGTCCACACATATAATGTTTACAATCTGAGTCCACCACACACAGAGCAGTCAGTGCTCGTGTTTACTTTTTCTGTGCTAATAATCAGCAGCTTGTTAATGTCGGTAAGATTAATGTCGGTATAACAGCTCACACATTATAGAGACTCTGGCAGCTGTGACCAAATACAAGCCTTAAGTTCTCTGGTGTTTTTATTTGCTTTATGTTGAAGCTCTCGGGATGTTGACTAGCAGCTAGTAACTGACTGATCGCCTGCTGCTGTTTCGCACCATAGAGCAACTGTGGATGGAAGACAAGTGAAGGACCAGACATTTCTTTAAGTCTGACATATATATTTAGAACCCATGAATGATGGTAACTTTAAAATGAGCAATCATGACCCCTTTTCATTACATTGTCATTTACAAAGCATGAGCCCTCTGGTAGCAGTAGTTGCCACTTGGACGGATGATTTCTATCTATCTGATCAAATATTTGTTTGTTTGTTTGTTTGTTTGATTGATTCTTGATGCTTTCATGATTCAATGTGTGTCAACAAAAACATTATTTCATTATGAGTTAATTGAAAAATGCTTGCAATGATATGATAAATTGTTATATAGGATATTTTGTATTGCAATTAATTAAGATGGTTTGTCTTCACCATGTCCTCAGCAAAATGGATCAGAAACTCAAAGCCATCACGTATTAGGAACATGGAAACCTTTCCCCCCCTAATACTGTGTTCTTAGGTGTCACGTAAATTGAGCCTAAGATTGTATTTATTCATGGAAAATGTCAATTGTGCACTTTAATGAGTTTATTGTCTTATGCATGGAAGGACATGCAGAAAGATGTGCTGCTTTAAATGTCCTTATTAAGATCAACAATGATCTTGTCTCTGTCACCAAATGTTTGTTTTTAAACAATCCATAGAGAGAGGGAAAGAGTTGATATAATAGTGTTAAGGAAACTGTAAATTAATATATGACATAATTATATTTCCAGTTTGGTCCAACTGAAACATGAACAATTACAGTCAAAATATTAATGACAAAAAATAAAAACAAACACTTCAGTCACTTTCTGCGTGCTTCCCCTTTGCATCTTGTGTGTTTGCCAGGCTATGAGTCCGCCTCGCCGTGAGTCCGGCGGTGGGAGGGGGGCGGGATGATACTACAGCTCCTGTCACACATGCTGTACAGCAACAATAATATTTGGAGAGTTACAAGTGGCTGCGGTCTGCAGCTCAAATCGAGACTCATGACCAATGAGCTCTCTCTCTTTTGCGCACACACAAAAAGATTTCCCTCGATAGCGACCATGGGTTTTTACGCGCGTCTTTAAAGCTCAGCAGCTCACAGGACTCAGTGGCCAGAGAGGAATTGGTGCAACATGGGATTGAAGCTGCAAGGCAGAGGCTGCTCAGTTTTCTGAGGACGCACAAGCGGCGCTCCTTGCCATTACGCACAACTTTTATCTGCATGCAGATTCAGACGAATTACAGAGTATAGTTTGCAAAGCAGGAGCAGAGATGGCCATATTCACTGGTTCTTTGATGGTTCTGATCAAATTTCTGCTTTATCTAAAACTTACATATTGCATGGAGGTGGATTTCTGCATACCTGTCCGCGTGGATCACCAAAAGCACGACAAACATCTGCACCGGCGCGCGGAGCAGGTGAATGATGGACACATTACTTTCAGATTGAGTGCATTCAAGCAGGATTTTTACCTCCACCTCACCCCGGATGCTGGTTTTATTGCATCAGACAACCTTCTATCTGAGAGCACCTCATCAGCATCCAACTCCTCCACCACTGCTGACCTCAGGGAATGCTTTTATGCCGGGGATGTCAACGCAGACCCGGACTCCTTCGCAGCGCTCAGCCTGTGCAAAGGTCTCCATGGGGGATTCTCCTATCATGGAATGGAATATTTCATTAGCCAGAGCCGGACTGAGGACGCAGCTGCTGCGTCTGGATCTGCAAACTCCTTCGACAGGACACATGTGATCCGCCGAAGAGGACGCACTGAGCACTCTGACGGTAACATCACCAGCAGGTGTGGAGTTACACCTGACCCCAACTTCAACGTGTCCTTGGAGAAATACAGACACATGAGTGAGGTAGAGATGGATGGTTTAACTGAAACTGTGCTGAAAAGTTTGGGCAGGTCCAAGAGATTCGCTTCCATCCCCAGGTTTGTGGAGGTTTTGGTGGTGGCAGATGAATCTATGGCCAAATTTCACGGGGATGACCTGAAACATTACCTCTTGACCCTGATGTCAGTAGCAGCCCGGCTTTACAAGCACCCCAGCATTCTCAACTCTATAAACATAGTGGTGGTGGGCTTCATGGTGATAAATGAAGCTGACAAGGGACCGAAGGTTTCCGGCAACGCAGCTCTGACTCTGCGCAACTTCTGCTCCTGGCAGAAGAAGTTGAATAAGCACAGTGACAAGCACCCGGAGTACTGGGACACTGCCATACTGTTCACCAGACAGGTAAGCAGGGGAGGGCTGAACACTGCTGTGATGCATCACACTGGTGGTGCAAAAATTGGAGTAAAAACACAAGAACGAGCTGTACAGGGGTGGATTATGACACATTTTTTTGCATAGACATGTAAAAACTACCTGTCTCTGTATTTAAAAGCAAGACAGTTAGAATTGAAGCAACACAGGTCTTATACTATGTAAGGTGCATGTGAACTGTCAGACTGGAAAGGGACCTTATTTGTAGGCATAACTTGTCTCTTTGTGGTCAATTTGCAACATTTATTGTCTGTATTCAACTCAAGCTTTGTATGACTTCCTTATGTTTTTAAGTTAAAAAATGTGGTGTAATTAGAATAAAACTAGTGATCGATAAACATACTCCAACATAAAAAAGCTCAATTTGGCAAAGACTTCAATTTTTCAATTTTGGAAAGACTCCAAGTCCATGAGAGAGTTTTGGAGGAGGAATGCATGCTGTAATTGCTAACCCTATCAAAAACATTCTCTGTCACTGATAAAGAGGAGCTCTTGATGGCAATTTGACAATTTGATGGACAGCGGTGAAATACATTTACTGCAGTACTATACTTAAAGCTCCTGTGAGGAACTTTTGGTTTGCGTCAACTTTAGCACCCCCCGGTGGACAAAGCAGTCTTTGTTTATCGTGTCCTCTACATACTAAAGCAACATTTTCTAAAAATAAGCCTATCCTGCTGGGTTTTGACTGGAATATCTCCAAGTCAAACTAACATCCCTTAAACTGTGGTGGGGTCGATTTGCTCCTGCATGGGTACACCTTACTCAGATCTTAACTGGCCTAATCAGTTGGCGGCTTTGAACCGTAAGTCTAACAGCACAAACACATTACAGAACGGCTTGTAAATAAAAGCCCGTTAGAAGAATTGGGGAAGTGTACAAAGCTGTCATATTGTATATACAAAAGGTACAGAGCTAAAGAAATGTTTGTGTTTTTACTGTTCAGCATGCAACCAGTTAGATTCTTGCTAACCTGTTTGTCAATTGTTTTAGTATATGACAGAAAGACAACAAGAAGACAGCTTAATGCACTATGCACTAAAGTTAAGCTATAGTAAGATTTAGATTAGGCTTTTTACCTGGACTACTAGAAGTTCAGTTTAGTGTGATTTCATCTGAACTGATGTATTAACTTGTATTTTAAAGGTCCAGTTTGAGTCAGACTCATGCAAAAACACTGATTCTTTTAACAGCATGTAAATGCTCTGAATGACCCAGAATGTCCAGATCTGTCCAGATTTTAAGTTAACACTCAATCTCTGCAACATACCAGCATGAACCCTTTGCTGCCGTTGTTTAAAATGCTTATTAAGAGTACCAGGTGCATCAATCTCACATTATGTCTTGAGCATAAACAACCATACTATATCAAAGTCCACTTCCTCCAACTCTGCCAGAGCCAAGTAAGTGCACTGACTGTGCTTGAGCACTCACTCTAGTCAAACAAGCTGCACTTTAGAGGTGAAAACATGTTTAGGCATGATACCAATCGCCTAGTGTGAGTGCACCCTCAGAAAGGTCAGCCACCCAATAATTTCTTTCGTTCAAGGTTATATGACTTAACAGACTTGCTGCAGACCACAGAAACAGCTACTTTTTCTTCACTTTGTTCGTTTCAACTTTAAATGACAAATAATGCCTCCAAACACTCTGCCTACCCTCGCCTGTCAGATGGTACTTCCGTGAACTTGTACTCTGGGGGCAGCAAACTGTGAGTTCACTTCATTTGCCTCAATGAGACAGTGGAAAAGAGCAACTTTGCCTGATCTTTCCAAGAAACACCTCACCACTGTCCGTATGTGGAATAAGAGCTCAGTCCCTATCTGACCCCTTCACAGAGCTTTAAGAGAGCCCAGTTAGACTCCAAATTAATTGCTCATTCACTCTAACTCTTGTGAATTGAGACTTTATGAAGCGTTCAGCCCTGCCATAGCTGATAATCCCACATGGATCCCAGAGCTTTAACCACTGAGGAGTAAATCTTTCTCCATAATCTCTAACTTTCCCTCAACTGTCCCTCTTTGATGCCTGCTCAGTGTCGCCTGCTTTCCATTAGATCCAGTTAAGCCATCTGATACGAGCCCTCACTCTTTCACTGCATAGCAACTACCACAAACAATGCGCCGTCTAAACCAGCAGAGAGTCACAGTGGTGCAGGAGAGGATCCTTTGTTTACACTGAGGATGATTATATGTAGGAAAGTGTAGGTCCGGTGTTGTCGTCCTTGTCGGGCATGATGAGTGCAGCTGCTGGTGGAAAAAACCTTGTAATAGGTTACAAAGAGCGAGTGGTTTGGGATGCACATGGCTGGCAGAGGGAGCTTCTGGCACCGCAGGGCCTTATTGTATCATTGGGTTAGCAAGTTCACTGTCCACGGTGTGTTAATATTTAGTTTGGACACTAATAAAGCACAGAGAAGTCATTTTGATCCAACGAATTAATATAATCCATGACCAGAAATGATGAAACACAGACAGAATCAGTTTAAAGATACAGAAAAAGCTTTCCACTAAGCCTTGGGACAGGACGAAGCAACTATCATCTAGATAACCAATGATATCATTTTGTACAATAATAAACAGATCCAACAAAAATAAAATGTTCCAATAATAATCAAGTTTTCCACTGGGAGGAGGCTTATCAGTTGTCTTTTTGATTAAGGAGCCAGAAACTCACATGTCAGCAGCGTGTGAGGCTGCACAAACGCTGTCCTTCGTGGCAAACTGATTATGTGAGCATGCATCAGTTAGTAAAATCACGCACATACAGGATGTCAAGTTTATAAATGTAACTTTGAATCATTCTGGCAGGAAGTAGATGGCTTAGTAAAGTTAAAAAAGTTTTATTTGGATCATCTATTGTTGGACCTGAATCCCAACTCAAGCAGATTTATGACTTTGCTACATCCTGAAAACAAGATTAAATTTATGAAAATCATCAGGAAGTGCTGTTCTCTTTGATGACCTTCAACATCTGTGCAGGGTGAGAGCGATCTCGAAGGCAAAGGTCTTGGTTTTGGGCCCTCAGCGTCCTGTACACGGGGAGTTTAAGATGCTTTCAGATGGTGGTTCAGTCTGAAAACCGTCTTTTTTAACTACATCATCTGTTGGCTTTTTAAACAAACTTTTACTGCTGTGATTTGAACAGGAATGATGAACTAGAGTGTATGCACAATAGATTAGTGCCCTTCAAGGTTTGATCCAACCATCACTCCCAGCATAACCACACAAACAAGTCCTATCTGACTTTGAGAGCCTCTTGAAAACTTTACACTTGTGTCTCTTTGATTACAGGATCTCTGTGGAGCTACAACCTGTGACACACTGGGGATGGCAGATGTTGGGACCATGTGTGACCCAAAGAGGAGCTGCTCTGTCATTGAGGACGATGGCCTGCCCTCAGCGTTCACAACAGCCCACGAACTTGGTGAGAAAGCTAGCCAGCAAAAGGTTTTCATCTGCAGGGTCTTTCATCTTTAGAGAAATACTAATGCACATGTGGTTCAAGAGTATGATGGGAAAAAAACTGCATATAATCCCAGTCTGAAATGTCAAAGGAGTCCAGTTTGACAAATGCAAACCTGGACAATCAGTGTGCAAAGCGCCCTGACTGGAGGGCCGTGTTACTTTCATGATGATCTATACATCCTGCAGCACTGCTGGGTGGCTATTAAATTACTTTTACCTGAAGTTGTGTCTGCAAATCAGTTCCTCATCAGATGGGCTGAATCAGAACCAGCAGGTCTGAGGGTCAAGGTTGGGACCAATCCATGCTGGATGTCCTTTGATCAGGGACATTTCCTCTGATAGACTGCAACCATTACAGCCTTTCTGCAGGCTGATGAAAGCAGCTGCAGTAATTCCAAAGCTTTTTGTACCTGTGGGTCATTTAGACTCCAACACAAGTAAAAACAGCGACCAGTTTGAATTTGAGCACAGGTAAGATGAGCCATTGTTAGCCAAGAACCTAAAGCTACTCATAACTAGACCATCAAACCAACCAATGACTCAAGAAGACATAAACACTAGGAGTGGGAATCACCAGTGGCCCCACGGTATGATATTATCACGATACTTAGGCCACAATACGATTATTGGGTGTTTTAACATTTTGCAATACAGTGAGTATTGTGATACAATATATTGTGATTTATGTAATTTTTTCATCCGTTTAGCTAATTTAGCATTTGTCTTTCCTTTATGTTTGTCTTATTTACACTGTGTTTTATTTACATGTAGCACAGCTTGCAAACCTTATATATACTTGTCGCACTAACTTTCTCCTGCTCTATGATGTCACCTCTGCCATCCTCACTGGACAAACAGATGATTTTGTTCTTCCATTGTCATAGATTTGACTTCATATTAACAATTCATTTGAAAAATCGATACTTGATAAATGAGACGATACGATATATCACCAGACAAAATATTGCAATACTATGCTGTATAGATTTTTTCTCCTACCCCTAATAAACACTGAATACAACTTAATTTAAGGGGTGAATGCACTTATATTTTAACAACTGAGCCAGCCAGGATGCCTGTTTGTCTCACACAGGGGTGTGTATAGACTATTTTTGAGTGGGGTGGTCCTGCCAGTTAAAATGCCAATAAAAAGATCATGCATGTGTCCAATTTAAAAGAAAAGCATGTCAATGATTACAGACTCATCTTAATTTAATTCAAGGCAATCAACATCAACAGGTAATTGATTAAGATGTGCGCATATGCATCAAGAGTTTTAAGCTTTTTTGATCTGTTGACTCTGTCACAGGTAAGGGTGGAAAAGAAGATAAACCTCTAATCCTTCCCTGTCTGCTTTTTTTACGTCTTTTCTCCTGTTAAAATGAAATGCATACAGCTTGACACGCTCCTGAACCTCTTTAATTAGGGCTAATCCTGTTAAAGTGACAGCTTTTCTCTGGTTTTCGGTCATCCGAGGTGGAGAAGGCTGTGAAAGAAACACGACTCATGTCTGAGACCAAAGTCAAAAGTAACTTATGAGGCCCCAGGAGAGGGATAAGTTTACACTGTCTACATATATGTTAAGTAATTACACAATTTCCCCTTCCAATGGTCCTGTTTCACAAGTGAACATGCTGAGACCATTTTTTTTCTCCTGGAAAGAGCTTTATGTTCGTATTTAGGGACTTAGATGATTTCCCTGGGAGCTGAATTCTCCTGTCAGACCTGGTTTAAGACGTGGACGTATGCCATGTTGAGTATTCCCATGTTTAAGCACATTCCTGTCTGCTATGACATCAGCCTTAAACCAAGCCAAGTTCAGCTAGCTTTGCCTTATACATACATGTGTGGAGTGAAGACTGGCAAAGAGTCATTACCATAGTCGCTTCTCTTTTGCTTCCCAGGGATTGTACCCAGTCCTTATCGTGTCTTAAATCCGGCTGTGGTTGGAAATAGAAATACTTAAGTCTAACAAAGATGTGACCCTGTGTCTTTCCTCTCTCACTCTCCCTTCAGGCCACGTCTTCAACATGCCCCATGACAATGTGAGGGCATGTGAGGAGGTATTTGGGAAACTGAAGGACAACCACATGATGTCCCCCACCCTGATTCAGATCGACAGGAGCCGGCCCTGGTCTGTGTGCAGCGCAGCCATCATTACCGAGTTCCTGGACAGAGGTCATGGTTAGTAAACACTTCCTGTTTGAGTGTGTGGATTCAGATGGAGCTTTAATTCTGTCCAGACTTCAGACTTCTCAGCTGGTTGTAATCTAATTGTACCCACACAGAAAAAAAAAACAGACCTTGGTGCTTCTTTGCCATGGTTACGTCTGAACTCTGAAGGGCTTTCACATGACCGAATACTTTGAGTTTGACTCTTGGGTGCATCCGTCTTGGAGGAAAGTTTGAAAAACGTCTGAGAAAATACCTGCAGACTGATTTAAATGGGCGAAAAATCCACAAAAACAGTTCACAGGCTAAAAGAGTCGCTTTAATTAAGACATGAGTGGTCAAAACAGAGGGTGCTCAGAGTGCGCAAAGTTTGACTGAAAACAGCAGCAAATGTTTTAGTCTTTGACTGTGGCAGACGAGGAGTGAAACTTCTGCTACTGTTCTCACTTTAACTAAAAGAAAAGCCAGTAAAACGCAAACCAAAAACAGTGAAAAAAGAAAACAGATCAAGATCAAGTCACAGAGACAAGATGAGATGTAATATTGTGTAGGTGGCAGAAAATCAGGAACTTCGTACAGAGAAGTTGGAGGGAACTTGTTCCACAGTTTCAGGGCATCAACAGAGAAGGCATGGTCAGCCCTGGTATTCAACCCGGTCTTAGGGACCATGAGAAGCAGCCGATCAGTAGATCTCAAAGACCTCAAGGGAGTGCTGCCTTGCAGGTGGTCAGGGATGTACTATCTTGCTATACCACTCAAGCATTTAAGAATAAATAACAAGATCTGGAAATGAATTCCAAATTGGAGAGGTAGCAAGTGGAGGTCAATTAAAAGATGAGCAGCAGCTCATGCAGACATGACAGCAAGGCCTGGTCAACACCAAAATAAAGTGCATGGCAATAATCCAAACAAGTAGAAACTAAAGCCTCTAACACTCACTCAAAGTTACCAAAATAAATAAAAAAAACAGGTTAAATTTTTGATAAAAGCCTCAGATGGTAAAATTTAAGATTCATCAAAAGACAAATTATGGTCTATTTCGGTACCAAGATCAGTAACCATGGGTCTGACAAGAGTTTGCAGGGAGCCAAGGATGATCATAGCTTTATTTTTACTTGGAAAAGTCTGTTGATGGTTAGTTTTATATATGAGGGCATGTTGTGTTTTCATGCTATCACATCTACATTGGCAGCATCTGCAGTTAGCTTAAGCTCAGAGCGGATGAAGATGTTCTAATGCTAAGATTGGGGTTTGTTTTATCAAATACATGTTTGGGCAAAAAATCAACAAGCAGGTTCTATATTTCTGATGTCCATTTAACTTTATGTCCAACGTTTTCCAATGTTGCTAAGGCTGCAATCGTAACGCTGTCTTCAGCTTGCCCCCCGATTAGCCATCGTTCTGTTTCACTCGACAATAATCAATTACCAATGTGTCGATATTTTTAAACCTATTTTGACTGATATTCATGAATACACTCCTGCTTATCGTCATGATGAAAGCCAAGTATCTTAATATTATCAGTAATGATACATGAAACTGTATTGCGCCAGAAATTACCCAGAAGAATGTCAACACTCACTTCCAACGAAGCATTTTCTCCTGGTGAATCTCATGCTGATTACAAGATACTTCCAGTATCCACATTGACTTTAAAATTCAGAGGAATATCAATATGTCAAACATCTTTTTATCGTCAGTCGCTCTTGCAGTGCCAAGACATATTTTCTTTCTGTTGACTACCATAAATGACTGTGAGCGGATTCTACTTAGTGACAAAATTAGACACCAATTTATAACCTGCACTTGATCAGCACTCTCAGTGTATCAACCAAAAGGAAACATCAAAGCTACTCTGCCGTCTCCTCACCATGACTCACTCGTTATCTAAACACAGTCCAGTGTCTGCACTGTCTCATGTTTGCCTCATTTTTAAACAGATAAACTATCAGAGAATTCATTATTTCTATGCGGGTTTTCTCCCCTCTTCTTATTTCCTTGGATGGTAATATTTTTGCTACTGTGTCAACAGACAAAGGTGGAATTTGCTGGAGTTTTTCTCTGGGATTTCAGTGAAATGCATTAGAGTCTGAATGTTGTTTCTGTTGTTGGTTTGCACCTGTAGGAGACTGTCTGCTGGATCAGCCTCAAAGGCAACTGTCCCTCTCAGACAACCTACCTGGTTCCAGCTACAGCCTGCACCGACAGTGTGAGCTCGCCTTCGGACCAGGATCCAGACCTTGCCCGTACATGCAGCCCTGTTCCAAGCTGTGGTGCACCGGAAAGGCCCGGGGTCAGCTGGTCTGCCAAACCCGACACTTCCCTTGGGCTGATGGCACCAATTGTGGCAATGGGAAGGTCTGCTACCAAGGAACTTGTGCAGACAAGAACACCACCATGCACATCCCGGTAAGAGGCGGCTTGAAGAAAATGCTGTCTTTTACTGCTTGGTTATTATTCTGACATAAACATGAATCATGGTGTATTTTTCTTTGGTCTCAGGTGGATGGGAAATGGGGAAAATGGGGTGCATTTGGAGACTGTTCTCGGAGCTGTGGTGGAGGAGTCCAGCTGGCCAAGAGAGAGTGTAACAACCCTGAACCTGAGAATGGAGGCAAATACTGCTACGGCCTTCGCCTTAAATATCGCTCCTGTAACCTCAACCCTTGTCCTGAAACAGGTAAACTAGCCTCTGTTATACTAAAACACCTTAAACTATCATACACTGAACCATTCTTACAGACAATTATTGACCAATCACCTATCAAACCTGTCAACCTGGCATTGTGTCAAACGTAACTTTCTTTGAATGTTGATATAGGCTGTAATTGTTTGCAGGCTCACTTTCCCCACCTACAAACCTTGTGCTCCTTCAGTAGGTTTCTGTAGCCCAAAGCGTGGTGTTTGCCACAATGACTCCAACGTACTTTGAGCTAAAAATTGGCATTTTGAGATGGGCTGTAGTTGTGATCACATGGCTCTTGAATGCAGCCTTAATAACTCTTGGGGAACTGCAATCTTTCGATTAAATTCATCTGTGAAAGTCATTGCTTGGTTCCCTTAAGTCCAACAAGACTTAATTCCATGACATGCACCTCTACCGTGTTGTCTCTTGGAGTTGGTCCTGTAGGCTAGTCAGCGTTTTTTGTACTCTGAAATGATTTTTAGAAAGTATACACTTTAAACAAACCAGACAAGCTGTCCGTGTTTGCCAAAGATATTTGGTCATCTCTATATCCAGAGGAATTCTCATGTTTTTAAATCTTGGACCTGATTTCACATTTTTGGGATCTAAATAACTGATTGTGTCAGGATATTGTGTCCCAGTAGACTGCTGCTGTTGGCAGCCCCATGACAGGCTGAGAGGGCTGCAATGTTACCCTTTAAGACTGTTTATCTTTTAGATTTAAAGGCAAACAAACTGCTCAAAAAGGCAAACAACTATTGTCCCACAGTTTGGATAGAGCATAGTTATGCTTTCAATTTCCAAAGACTCCATGGACGAAGACTTGGAAGTAACTTCTCTGATTTAGCAGCACAAGTGCTTCCAGCTTCAACAGATTTGGAGCACTAAGAAATAAGGGGCATCACAGCTTCTGTAAACTTGCTAACATTTCTTTTACTGTACAGAACACCACCACTGGGGCTTTGCAACCTAATATTGTTTTTGAGCTGTTGCGTTATAGATAGAAACTTCTATTTAACCAAGATGTGGGGGCACTAAATATTTCGTGAACCAATGAATAGACATAACGGAAAACGGAGAATGAGACTGACAGATGGACAACATGAACATAGATATTGATATTGAGAAACAAGACTGTCATGGTCAAGTAGTTCTGTCTGCAAAGAAGGAACCCCAAATTGCTAATCAACCACAGGAGAGGAAAATGGGGAACTAAGAAAAACAATTATTAGCATGCAAACAAATGCACCCAACTGTGCTTTGAGGTCACACAGGTTTGTTTTTTTTCATATCTACAGGTAAGAGTTTCCGTGAAGAGCAATGTGAGGCATTCAACGGCCTCAACCTGAACACCAACAGACTGGGCTCATCTGTGGTCTGGGTTCCCAAATACTCTGGCATCTCCCCCAAAGACAAGTGTAAGCTCATCTGCCGCGCCAATGGAACTGGATACTTCTACGTCCTTGCTCCAAAGGTATGCAGCTGATGAGGTCATCACAGAATCAGGTTTTCACCTTATAAATGTCATGGCCAAAAGAAAATCATGCAAATTATATTGTTTTGATATTTAAGAAAGACTTAAAAAGAAACTAAACCACAAGGAAAGGCCATCCAAGTGTGGAGGTTACAGCCTAGCCTCGCTAATCTGACTAATTCCTATGTCATCATCTATTTCTAATTATGGTCAGTTATTTTTTATCTGCAGAAACCTCTACAGAGAAAACTGCCTCTTGTTTATGATGCTTTTATTCTGACGTTTTACTGTCTTGGGTTCACATGACTTTGTATCCTGTATTATAAAAGCATGCTTTTACTTTGAAATAAGGTACATGCTACTGCAGGTAGATTGTAAAATACAACACTGGATTAAATCTGCCAAAATAATGGCACATCGTTCACGGCAAACCAGAATAAAGATCTACCTCTACACCTACTAAAAACCACAGTATGCATATTTTCAGCTCGGTATTAGTTTCATGAGCTGGTTGTCATCATCACTGCAGTACTGCAACAGCCCAGTGGCTGATATATGTACTCTACATGCAACAAATTAGTGCATCTATTACAATTGATGGTAGAATTTTTCTCATTTCCAAATTATATTCATTAGGAAACCTCCAAGGGTTCGATGTGTGAACGAGTAGAGAAACTCCAACGAGTTCTGAAAAGTTCACAGCAAATGACATATCGACTGCTTTCACATTACCAGCGAGGCATAATTACCCAACCATCTGGAGGCTGATTTGAGGCCGATAATTGCAGCTTTAGTGCAAATGTGGTTGCAGCCTGTAGAGAGAGTATAGAGCAATGCTGTCAGCTTTCATTATGCTGCTGTGAATGTGAGAACATCCTACCACACTTAGATCTGTCCAGCTAAGGCAAAACATCAGGGAATTAGTATTATTTCTGAGTATATTATACCTAACAATGGAGTCTGACCTCTCTCTCTTTGAACACCTCATTATTATGACTTCAGACTTCATGGAAGGTTGAAACATTGATGTGGAAATATGCAGCTGCTCCTTGTTTAGAAAGGTTTCCTGCATTTGGTTAAATACCTGGTATATTTTGACCTTTTTCTAAGCCCAACAAGAGGGGATTTGTTATTGGCAGCAGAGAAAACTGTTGCTGCAAGAATGATAGAGTGGTGAGAGGGGGAAACATGCAGGGACAGTATCACCTAACAGCTGTGGCTTGTCAGCAACTATTTATGCAACCAGAAAGGAAACAATCTTGTAGCAGCGACATGAGCCAACATCTCGTTTACACTAAGGGGACACCGTACACTCCCTGTGGTGCTGCTCAGACTTTCTGATTATGTGCTGAAGCTCTTTGGCTTATGACATTTGTTTAGTCAACGGAATCAAGTCTGGAAATTGGTGGAACATGGATGTGCCAAAAGTTTCTGTCTTGTGCATTCCTTCCCCTTGTTCTTACATAAGAACTGGCATAATTTGATGTTTCGGGCTCTGCAGGTTGTGGATGGGACTCCCTGCTCTCCTGACACCTCAGCTGTATGCGTTCAAGGAAAATGCATCAAGGCCGGTTGTGATGGAAAGCTGGACTCTAACAAGAAGTTTGACAAGTGTGGTGTCTGTGGTGGAGACAACCAGGGCTGCAAGAAGGTCTCGGGGCTCTTCACCAAACCAGTGTAAGTTGTATGTTTGCAATATACTGCAGCTAAAGGAGCAGTTTGTTAGCCAGATATATGAAAGCAACAGTTGTTAAGAAAGGCTTAGGCTTTCAACTGCTGCAGACAGGTCAGCTCTATCATAGGATTTATCTAATTTGAACAAATTCCAACCCCCGCGTTATACTTGGTTCGTGGTTCAGCCCACAGTCACTGATTGATTAATCAGGTCAAGGATGTGCAAATCATTGATGTATCGTAAATCCTGCATCTTAGTTTGACGTAGTTTTAATCACTTTGAGCTCAAGATGATCCAGCATACACAGTAATGTCTGTAGAGTTTGTTATTTCAGCTCAGCCTTCAGCTTCAACAGCTAACACAGTATTTTTTATACAGTAAATCTATAACCTGCATACCATGTGTCATTACGCAATAAAAAAAAAAACTTTCCATTCAACACTGCTGGTTTTCTAATCGCACCTTGCAGAAAGTGGGTCAGAACCAGCAGAGTTCAGAGAGACAGGGAATTCTGGTTGGTGAGTGATGCAGACTGCAGCTGTATCCTCTGTTTTAGAGAAGTCCCACGTATGACAGCAAGTAGATCTCTGAGTATGTGGGATTGCAGTTCACACACCTGCACCACCAGGTTGCATGGAATATCTCCAGCTCAGTCACTTGTGTCCACAGTAAATGATGTGCCATTGTTGCAGGTCAGAGTCACTGTTTTTTTTAGTTTGGTTGTATTTTTGTCTCTTTCAAAGCCTGCATGCCTAAAGAGCTAACCAGTGCACTGCAGGTGGAAGGATACGAATGAGCCACATCTGAGAATGTAGCCATCAAGCCTTTTAAATCACACCCACATACCTCCTGAAGTAAAGGAAACACCCTACAACAGAGCCATTAGAGGAGCTGTGGGGATTTCTGGAGGTGTATTAGCAGACAGCGCTTAGGTCATATTTTGGCCTCTTTTCATAAGGCATGCAGTGATTCATGGAGGAAATTTTAGACAGACTGGTTCTTGAACCTGAATCGGGAATCCAAGAACAACCTGTTTCCTATCAACATTTATCTCAGAAGGTGATCAATTGCATAAAATAATGTCTTTGAAAATTGAAACAGATGTTTGATGACTCAGCAAAATGACACTAAGGAATATTTTACTACTCTAATTCTCAAAAATGCTCCATAAATGTCTCCATGTGCTCCAGTAACATTTACATCCATCTAGCTGGAAACTTTTGGGTTTACTTTATTCTGTCAAGCGTCATTAATGCTCTATGTCTCCCCTTTCTTTTCAGCCATGGCTACAACTTTGTGGTGATGCTGCCAGTTGGAGCTTCAAATGTGGACATCCGTCAGCGCGGCTATCGAGGAATGGTCAGTGATGAAAACTACTTGGCGGTGAAGAACCGGCATGGCAAGTACCTGCTGAACGGTAACTATGTGGTGTCAGCTGTGGAGCGTGACCTGCTGGTGAAGGGAAGCTTGCTGCGTTACAGCGGCACCTCCACCTCTGTGGAGATTCTTCAGGCCACCAGACCTCTGCAGGAGCCCCTGACGGTGGAGGTGCTCTCTGTGGGGAAGATGACCCCACCCAGGGTGAGGTACTCCTTCTACATCTCCAAAGAGAGCAAGGAGGAGAAGACTCTGCGGAAAGAGGAGAGGAGCCACACAGCGCAGAACAGCGTCTTGTCAGACAGCAACAGGGTGGAGGCGAAGAAGCAGATGATGGGGAAGAGGCCGTTGAGCCACTGGGTGACAGGAAGTTGGGATTCTTGCTCACTAACCTGTGGGAAGGGTTTTCAGCAGAGGCTGGTGCAGTGCCAGAGCATGGAGGGACGCCCTGCAGGAGATTGTGACAGCGTTGACAGGCCTGCAGCAGTGAGACCATGTGGGGATCCGTGCCCCATGTGGGACGCAGGGGCCTGGTCTCACTGCTCCAAGTCGTGTGGAAGGGGCTTTAAAAGGCGGCCAGTGCGGTGCATGACAGACAACGGCCTGAATCTACCGAGAGACCACTGTGCAGGACGGAGGAAGCCTCAGGAGCTGGACCTCTGCAACCTGCGGCCGTGTTAGAGCAGAACAGTCACAGCCTGAGGACTTCTTTTGTCAGTCAAATCATGATATGACATGAACTTTAAGCCCTGATCAGCGTGATAAGGACTCTGAGGCCATGCTGAGTGGAAATACTCTCCAAAGCATGAAGCCTTATGGTGCCTGAAGGGCATCTGCTGCAACAAAGAATGGTAATGGAGACAGAGAGGGTCTTCCTCTGTTGTTTAAAGAGACAGACATCAGATAAGGCATGAAAAAAATGAGGGATAGCTGTGGAAACTGTTGATCCCTCTGCAGCAGGTTTGACTTGTGGTTACTCTACCTCGACCAGGAAAGATGACACAGTGCCTGAAAAGACAGAGAAAAACAGGAGGAGAATAGACAATTATAAAACCTGGCACAGAGATATTACTCAGTTTGAAGTGACTTGCATGGGACAAGGTGAAAAGAGGAGGGAAATTAAAGTCCAGGATGAAGAGATAAAGTGTTGTGAGGTGAAACTCATGCCTCTGAAGGAGCACTGTGCCGTTCTCTCACCTGTGAAACGACTTTTTTCTCATTTCACTGAATCAAAATGTGAAACACAGTACTGTATCATTCATGCAGGTCCATGCAGTTTGTTTTTTTTTCATCTGTTTTATTTTCTTTCATATTTTCTATTTAGTGCTATCGGCTGTATCTCATGTAGAAAATCAGAGAAGGCAGGTGATCAAGTCCAAGCAATTTGATCTAAACAATTGGATTCACAAGCTTTATAGGCTGCCGTATTGCATAATTTACAATCTTTGTATATTTCACCAAAATCAAATAAATACATTCTTTAAACTAGGACCAAATATATCAAAGGAAACTTTTTAATAAGGGGGAAGTTGGTGTAGTTAGAATTCAGATGTGAGAATACTCTGTGTAGTGAATGTACATTAGGCTTTTTGCGACCAGTGCTACAATACTGCATCCACTTTTGTAAAAACCAAACTGAGCACATTTAACTATTTGTTCTTTGCTGCCAAAGAGTTATAACTTTTAAAGAAGTCCTAGAAATGCAGAATTATTGCTTACTTTTCATTGCTTTTATAAGGTACCTTAAAAAACAGATTTTTCTAGGCTTTGTCGGATTTCAATTTCTTACAATCCTTTCCTGTGATTTTGCTTTTGATGGGTTCCTCTGTTGTAGAGTTTTGACTATCAAACACTCACCCACTGGAGTTCAAAAATATGGTTAAAACAAATGACGCGAATCGGGTGGGAGCTGAAAATGTCTCAATTTGAGCGGGTATTCGCATTGCAATAACCATACAGCACCAAGGTTGCTGGGTGACATATGAAAATGGATGGTTGTTCACTGGTATCTAAAATGGATGACAAACTGATCTTGTTGGTGTATGGGTGCCCTGAATTATACGATACCTTTTCTTTCAATTACCGAAACCGGAATTAAAAGGAGCTCGACTGGAGGCAAGTGAGTGAGGAGGTCGGATTACCTGGTAAATTGTAAAAAAAAACCTTTGTCTATCACTTTATCCCACCATTTGAATTGGCAGGGATTACCATTGAAATTGGCATAAACGGTAATGACGCGTGAATGAAGCAAGTAAATACTATTAATTCACACAAATTTTGCGAGTAAATGATTTTACTCGCGCTTGGTGTGAGCACCCCATTTTAACTACACTTCACAAGATGTATTCACTTTATAGATAAATTGTTTGCTTTAAATGGATGATTTTGTGAGGACATGATACAATACAGTAAGTCTAGCAATTGTGTTTGCCACGTTAAATATTAAATGAACTGTTCTCATGCAACCTTTTTAATGCTGGTAGACCTTTCTCCATGTACTGCTCACATACACCTGAATTCTTCCCAAAATCTAGAACTAAAGATTGTACATGTGCAAGCAAATCAAATAAAATCCACCAGGATCTTGGGAATTCGTGTGACAAAGCCTGCCAGCCTTTGAGAGCTCCATGAAAACTAGGGGTGAGCGATTCATGATCAAACAACACAGCTGACTTTATTTGGGCAACAAGTGATTCCCGTATCTTTTGGTCAGCTGCTTCACGTCATTGGTATTTCCCCTAACTTTTGCAGTTTTCTGTCTTACTGCTGCACAGCTGCTTCACCACCTCTTGCACTTCATTAGAAAGCATCGGCTAAAGTATTTCAGGACAAGCTCATGCAAAATGTCCTCTTAAACTTTATTTCTAGTCTTACACTTACCTTTTCTATAAGCAGATAAGTGAGTCTAACTCTTAAGTGTTAAAATGACTTATCATCTCTCCGAGACATGTACAAAGGGGAGTTAAAGGGAGAATCTGACCTGACATAGTCAATTACCAAACACATTACGGTCTTTTCTATCTTGGCTTTGTATTTTGTTGTTGGAACAGGTTTTGTTTTAATTGGATTACTATAACTACATTTCCCGCACAGATGAAAATATGTGTAACAAAGTCGAAAATGTATCATCAGCCTCAAAAATATTTGGTTAAAGTCCAGTTCTGGTGTCACACCCTCAGCTTGGGAAGTGTAAGGGCGTCTATTTGGACTTGAAATTTTACATATTTGCGTTGTTCAACAATAACACAGACAGAAATGCACTGAAAGAAGGGATTACGACACCTCTGAGGTTAAGACTCTCAACACTTGTCAACATACATCATTAAATAACAGCTGCAATTCATCAGACATTACAGCATAACAGATAAATGTTCATATTTGTAGGAGGAATCTTCTTTTGAGCTGGCTTGACTCGTGATGGTATCGCCAGATTTGCAAAGCTGTTGTGTGTTTTGAGACTTTATTTTAGGCTGTTTTTCTTCCTTTGTACAAAGTCCATGTTTGGGTCAGATTAAAGTGAACCCAACCATGCAGAAGTGGTGTCCAGACTTATTCAAAAGAAGCTGTTTGGAAGTTGTTGAAAGAATAAGTCTAAGCTGAGTAATAACCTCAGTAAATGGTTTCCTAATGGACTTTGGTTCTCAATTAAAAGTTTCAAGTCTTCTCCATGACATGATGTCAATGTGTTTGAATTATAGTCAATATAAATGAAAATCCAGGATAAAGCAATAGCAGGTTAAGCTTTTTGGTCTGATTATACAGTGAGAAGAAATTTGGTTGAAGCTGGGTTTTGGTTAAAAGAAGATCTGTATTTATTCATTAAAGCGTCCATCTCACCAACGGTGGATGATGGTGCTCTTGGGAAATGCAGTTTTCATTCAGGGAAAACTCTGATTTAGTCCAAAGGGTTCAGCAGAATCAATACAACATAATGACACCTTTATGGGAAGTCTTTTGGTTTAGGTGAAAGTAGCACATTGACATTTATTCTTTCATGGTAATCAACAGATATGGACTGGTGTGAGAGTCTTTGTTTACCATTAAGCCCCACATCTAAAACCCTTGGACAATACCGATACTTTAAAACCGAAAATTCAAGTTCATTGTGAGTCATTTTCTGGTTTGGAGGGACCAGTCATATCATCTAAAAGATGGTATTGTACAGTTATGTTTTTCTTCCTTTTGCATCATGTATAGTTAATATAATTTTTTTATTTTGTCTTTGTATTGTATACTATGTATACATTCATCTAGCTGTATAAAATAAAGTATACATGTATAAGAATATAACCATGTGCTGTGTCATGATTGATGAGGTTTCTTCAAGGTTTCCAGTTACTGTTCAAATTGTATTTTAAGCTTTGACATGAGGATAATTTACAGTATTTCTCTGACTGTAAATCTATCCCTCATTATTTAATGATGGACTGCATAGATATGTTGTGTCTTGAATATCCCTTTCTGCTCCAGCTGTATCTGTTACAGCAGATTTCTGCCATGCCACGCAGTCTTCCATCACATGAGATAAGACATTTTTGATCTCAGCTGAAGCATGTCTTTAGATGAAAACATATTCATTCATCCAGTTTGGTATTCTGCTGATTTAAGCTCTGTTGTCTTGGCTGAGCAGTAAAAACACACCCGGCTTGGCCAGCGTCTGCCCAGTAAGCCTGAAGCTTTGTTGGACTTGGACGCCCTCACCCCAAAAATTTGACCCACATAAACATTCAGTGGTATTCAACATGGTTCTTTGACTTTTGAAAATATCTACTTGTCTTACCAAGCAATTACATTTTAAGTCCTTTTAATTACATGGGTTCTTTCAACTGGACCACTTTTATTAAAAGAAAATCAATTATTTTCAATTAGAAAACCAATTACTGGGAGAGCACCTCTCTGTTTCATGTGCAAACATGAAAAGCTAAGGCAGGGAGAGTAGCAGCAACCACATGAGGTATAAAACCAGATAAAGCAGACATCAATGGCAAATACACTAAGTGCAGCGGAGTTACGCAGCTCAAGGAAGAACATTTATGATCATTATTTCATCATTTCCATTAAGTAATTATCATCATAATAATCATTTTGCACTGCAGACGCGGTAGTTCTTTTGTCTTAGTGTTTCGGTCTGATTGCATTTCCATGAAGAAATGATGATAAATGTTCTTCCTTGAGCTGCGAAACTCTGCAGCACTCGGTGGTCGACTCGTCATGGCTCCCCCATAAACAAGAGGCTGCTGGAGGAGAGTGGGTGAGCTGCGTTTAGTCTCTTTGCTAAAGAAATTAGGCAAAGCTAAAAAGATATTTGGTGGTTAGTGCCATGGCTGGGACTCTATGTGTTCTGTTGGTGAAGTTAGGTGCTGTTCTGAGCATTATTTGTGGCTATAGAGTGGCGTTTTGGTTGAGGTTTTCTCAACGGTTGAGGTTTTCCTGCGGTCGTTACTTAGGTTGGTATAACTAGAGAAGCAAGCGGTCAGCAACATTCATCTCTCAAAGGGGTGTCTAACTCGGTGTTATTGTGTGTTTGACCATAACTTAAATTTGAGCCAGAATGTCCCTTTACGTCGAGGTGGGTTGGAATGCGATTTGCAGAAGAAACACAAAGCATAAATAATTGATTTGGTGTTGTGCTCCTTTAAATATCTAAAAAGTTTAATTGATGCCAAAGGGAAAGCTATGCATTTGGAAAGTTAGTCCGTTCTATAAGACGGGTAGAGAATGTAGAATTAGGGATGTTGCAGATGCGAGACTGAGATGCTCCCTCACATAGCCTTCCTGTCTGTGAAGCAATGGTGGCCTTTAAGACAAAAAGCTCCTGTGATTCTTAAGTCTTATCCTCTTATTTGTCAAGTTTTCAGCATCAAAAACATCTAAGAATTCAATTTTTTGTCTTCCGTGAATGAATGAATAAAAACATCCAAGTCTTTGTCGGGAATAAATCCATTAGACTCCTCTGCCTTCTCTTCACTTCCTAATCACACTCCAATCCTCCATTCTGAGTAAGAATCCTCTGTTGTTTCTGGAGTTTTTTCATTCAGTATTAGTCATTTGAGATCAGAAGCTAAATAGAGACTCAGACCTGGACTGAAGTTGCAGCAGGTGTCCATCCCCTTAAAACAAAAAAGTAGAGTCCTCTCCACCAAATGCTCAGAATTCCTCCAGATCTCACCTGAAAAATCCTGAGCCCAAACGTGAGCGCTCGTAAACCAGATGTGCTTTGTTCTTTGCTTTTAGGGATGAACCCCATTAGGGGAAGTTTAGTCTGTCTGTCAGAACAGCATGTGAGGGCAGTGAGCTACATACACAAACACAATTATCTCATTAACCAGAGGTCAACTTTGAAGCTGCACCAGGTTACAGATCATCATTTAAAACACATTTAAAGACTGAATCACATAGAAACTTACAAGAAAAAACACAGGTCACTTACTGAAAGTTTCTGAGTGGCAATGGTGGTTCAATGACAAATCAGTCCATCACAATATTTGTGCAACATATTCAAACACAGACTTTTCAACTATTGAAAGAAACTGTAAGCAGGACACTTTCATGTTTTCTGAGCTGAAATTACTGTTCTCTCCACTGTAGTCTGCTTAAGAGAGCAATCAGCCTCATACATTTTAAATTGTCCGTAATGATTTCATTCATTCAGGATGATCATCTGGGCCTTTCAAAGTCAAAAAACATGCACTTCACACAGGAAGACTTTGATCACAAAGATTATTTTTTCTGTAAGGCTTGTTAAGATGTTTGTTGCCATACACAGTCAATTTTTATTTACCAGTCAATTAAATCCAAAACTTCTTATTTCATTATCACTCATAATTTCTTTATTGGCCAACAAAGGCGCCAAACATGTACAACAGTCAAAAATGACGCAACCCTGTAAATTATCTGCAAACAGAAAAAAATCATGCTGCAAAAAGTTAAAATCAACTGCAATAACAGTAAACACGCAGCATATACCCAAATGATACAAAGCAAGCATGTGTAGGATGTAAAGTATATGTAAAACGTAAAAAAAAAAAAAAAGGTCAAGACAATAAGGGGCTGCACGCTCCCCTTACAAACTGTTTCATGCGCTTATTTTTTTTTTTCTTTTTTTCACTTCTGCATTTTTAGTGTTTTCCCCCTGATCCCTTACCTCTGTTTGTAACTGTATATTCCTGCCCGAAAATATGCAAACACACAAAAAACAAAATTTTAGTCACACGTCTGTTAACATCAGAATTTTCGCTTCCACGAATGCTTTCAGTGTTTCAGTATTTCAGAAGGTAGAAAGCCCTCTGCTAATTTTTAACTATGTGTGAAAAAGATAAGGTGATATAACTGCACATCATCTTACTATAAACATACTATTTGCAAATGAGTGTCATCCATCTAACCGCTCTGGGGGTGTCTAGATCTTTCGCTCTATCTCAGTTTGCCCTTAATTTGAACAGGTCTCCTTACTTTGTAGCAACATTTTTGAGTCGCCTAATCCCTTGTTTAAAATACCTGATGCAGCTTCAATCCCTTTTTAGAAAAGAAAAAGCCTCAAAGACCTTCTTGAAGTAAAAACCGCTACCCCAAATTACTGAAATGCCAATTCAGACCAGATAAATGTTATCAGTGTGTTGTTAAATATGCTGGATACTTCACCCTGTAGTTTTTTTTACTTAAGAATTACAGATATGGTTGGCTCTCACAGGCAGAATACAAACATTTGCTTAAATTATTACAAATTATCAGAGGTCTCCACGTAACGCTAATCCCAGGGGAATAGAGCTCCGGTCAAACTGGCCCGCTGGGTTAAGGTTAACCTGCTGTTATGGTTAAGAGAAAACACTGCTGACTGTAAGAAAAATATTTAGCGGCACTATAGCAACAAGACGCTTCCTCCACCTTTGCTCCTCACAGACAACAGAGATCACTGTAACAACCAGAAAATGTAGCCTGTCATGAAAATGTAAACGTCAGATTATTTGAAGAGTAAATGAACAATCCAAGCGATCATTTTTCTGGTCAGGACCGACACACTTTCCAGAGAGTTCAGAGGAAATTTAAAACGACAGGCAGAGACAGAAAGACCTAATCTGGAGTGATTGGAAGTATTCATACAGTTCTGACAGAGATGTCGGGTTTCAGTAGAGTTGTGGTCTCAGCTGTTGTCAGTACACTGCCAAGTTTATTTATTGTTCTTGAAAAGTTTAAACAACTGTCTCTTGCTAAATTCTGTGGCTTCCTCTCTGTTACATAACTTATTTCAGGTTTTAAGGTGCAAAGCAGCAATGGCTATGTTTTTACAAATTTAAGTGCAGTAAAACAAATTATGAACATATAACTGTGACTTTCAGCAACTTGAAGCGTTAACATGGCTGATGTGATATAAGCGGTTTCTTATTAAAGCATTTACACATTAACAGCACTGACTCTGCTGATAAAGGGAAACTTGAGTATTTTTCCCTTACTCTCCACTTGTGCCGCTCTGTGACTCTACCGATGTCGCTCACTCACGTGTCCTCCTTTGTCCTCCTGCAACAAGTGAAATCTCACGAGACGCCAGAGCAACACTCCTCCACCACCAATTCTGTTTGCCTGTTAATCAGATGGTCCTTCAGATTATCTGCCCAGATTATCCTGAGTTACCAGGTGTGTTCAGAGGAATTTTCCTCTACTCTGATCTGCACTTCACACTATCAGAGCTGCTTTCACTTGAGATTAATAATATTAGACATGCTAAATATTTATGAACAAAAATCCTAACATGTGGAGGGAACTTCAAGGAAGGCCGAGCATATGGTTATTGTCACATGGAACAAAGTGATCCAATCAGGTTGCAAGTTGGCCAAAGACAGAAGAACAACAAATGCAGTCATGGCAAAGATTGTAAATATTAAGAATAAACTTATAAGGAGAGGTTACTTGTTGATATGTCACCAAAGACAGGAGTTGAACAGATATAACCACTGTAATGGATGTATCTGGAAGCAAAAGTTAGGTCCTGTAATCCACCGTGTAATTTAGAGTTTAGGCCACATTTCACCAAGAGAGACACCAAAGAAACCCAACTGTTAAATCTGTCATCATTTGACTTTGTGAACTGGGTTTGTTATTATTTCAGAAATCTTTCAGTGTGTGCCTGGATTTAGTTAACGTCATATCATCTGGTGTTTTCCTGAAAGAAGAGAAACCAAATAACACACAATACTAATTTGAATTACATCTTTTATTACTTTGTTAAATACTCCAGATTTTTCATGGTTTTAATTATGTAGGTAAAATCTGCGTCAGATGTCTTTGCGTACAAGAAAATAACTAGTTTTACATTTATCACAGCGTATGAACACAAATAAAGGTGGTCTAAACCAGGACGGCATGAACCATAAAATTAACAAAATGATAATATACTAACCTGAGAGCACTGTTATCAAAACTACTGTATATACATGATATACAGAGAAGGGCTGGGGTATAATAAGACGCTTGTATTGCTTTACATCTTTAATGTGGAATTTAAATAGTCCAAAATTAAAAACTGGAACCTTGAACATGGAAGTCCAAACAACTGATCATGATTAACTTAAAATTTAGCAATAAATTAATTTGACAGCCCTAAAGTTTTTCATCAACACTTTTAGAGTCTGTTAATTTCAGCTGCTACTTGTACTCATGCAACTCCTAAAACTTAAATAGTCTGTGTTATCTGTGGGCTAACTTTTTGGGTGTTTTCAGAATAAGCTGTGTTTTTGTTTTGTTTTGTTTTGTCTTCACTCTAAACCACCACAAAATCTAAAACTGTGTGCCTGTTTTGAAAACCACAAAAATAAACTGAAAACAGTGAATATTTTAGAGAGCTCTGCTTCTAATTCAGCATGACATAATGATATTTCTGTGAAGTCTTCACAAGACTTTCAAGGCTCTCCAAGAGTTTTGACAAAGCCTGGCAGAGTAACGTGTGTTTGTAATGACGGGTGTGTCGGGGTGAAGCAGGTTCATGATTCACACAGTGTCCAGCAAAGTTGAGTTTCTCCTCATCATAAAAACAATTAAAGTCTGAGGCATGAGGAATAATTTGTTGTATGACATCAATAAAGATGTTTGAATTGAATGTGTCTGGAAATTAAATCAGCTTGTTTAAGTCAGTCATTACTCCTATTTTCCAAAGGCCTACACAGCTCCTCCACCCATTTAACACATTCATACCACCACAGTTTCCTCTGATGTCTCACTCAGGGTGGGAAGCTGCAAATGCTGTTAGTGTTGTTCTGCTGTTTCCAGGTTATAAGACACATGTGCAGAGGTCTGAACTTTAGTTTTTAATTTAATATCTTAGAAACTGATCATTAGAGAAGACGGAAGAACAGCCAGAAAAACAGCTGTAGACTGAGCCAACCTGAGGGGTCTTCAATATTGTATCCTCAAGTTTAATGCATGTTTTGTTTAGTCTAGAGGGTGTGATGTTAGTCCAAGGACTCTACCAGCCAAAGTCTGAAGGTTGAACAATTCAATCAATTGTGCGATATGTTGTTCACTAATACTCAACAAGCTATCACTGCATGGTCATCATCTTCTATTTTGATGATCAGCTACACTAAATCTATCTGTGAGTTGGAAATATCAAGAAACTATCAGTTGGCTGTCTCAACTACACATTTGTAGACATACAGTATGTTAAGACTGTCCCATTAAAGTGAAATCTGTTGACAACAGTATGACACACTGATGACATTCAACAAAATAGGCACCGATAGCATGTAGAGTGTTTTAACCAGTGGACTATCCAAATAAAGGGTTTTCACATTGTGCTTTTCATAAGCTCTAGATATACGGGCAAACTTCTTAATGCAATTTCAAGATGTATGAAAAATGGTCCAGACTGGCTTTTTCAAAGCAATAAGCTGAGGCCCAAATCTACATTTTTACCATGCAAACACCAGCTGGTAACAAGCATACTTGCCACAGAATTTCACTTGCCATGGATTTGTTTGTTAAAATGTCTTGCAAAACGTTTCAGTCCACCTTTATAATGATAATCTGTCATAATTCATTCTTCAACATGACTCAGATCTTGAAGTTCAGCAATAATCTTGCTCCCATCCTGCACCTGTCCTCTGAAAACGCCCACAGCGTAGTTATTGTATAGTAAATCTCTTCTAATAACCTGTAGGAGAGCAGTATGGACATGCCATGTCTTCACTGTTTGATTCTTTAGTTACTCTAATGGACCTGGACTTCGCCTGAATGGATCAGGGATCTATTGAGTGAGAGCTTTGGTCCGGTGTATTCACAAAATGACCCTGTCTGAGTTCATCTTAAAGAGTTTTATCTCACAGTGGGCTGCTTCTGCAGAGAGGTGTGAAGAGAGCTCTTGTCCGGAAATCACATTATCTGCTTTACACAACAACACAGCAGTTGACACCGGCCTCTGCCAACAGCCGAGTGGATTTTGATTTACTTTTCCCCCTCTTGTCCTGGTGGGTTTCTGTCCACCCATTCACAGTCAGCTCACGAGGCTAATGACCATGAAGGGTTAATGTTCCCCCGTCCATGGGAACCACTGAGGCTTTAAGTTGGCCTTTCTTTACATTGACTGAACCGCAAAGTCAGAATGACCAGCGTTGCAGATTTCAATGCATGTGGAGGGCTGTAAACAAGTGGCTGTGAAGTACATTTGCTGAGCCAAGGCGTCGGGAAGTACATCAAGAACGCTGCCTGTTTAACAGAAGAGCTTTGTGAGCAAGAGACACTGAATTCAAGCTATAGCTGACGGAGCTACCACTCACTCAAGTATGCGGGACTGAGTACCATGGGACATATCTGTGCTGGTTTCCTGAGATACTGATTCTTCTTTGTACAAAGTGCTTTACAAATCACAATCAAATCAAATCAAATCAAAGGGAATCAAAGATAAATATCGACAACCAGTGCAGTTTCTCAGAACGTCGACAGGAGAGTTGAGGTGACCTTAGGCCCAATACAATCCAATATGGCCCAAAAGGCAAGTGCCTCTTGCAGGAATCTCAAGGACTTTAAACCTGAAGATGTTGGTGATTGGTTCTGTAGAGAGAAGCCCTGCCCCCGCCAAAAACTGGATATCAGTCTCCCCGTTGGACCAAACCTCATCAACATACTTTGCAATCATGAACAGTAGTCCAAAAGGAAAGAAGCATAACATACTTTGAGTTGTCTATGATCCTGTTGATGGGGGTGCATAAATCCAACACATGTCTGGATTCTTTTGATCGATATGTTTAACTTTTGCAAATAGGCGTTTGAAGTGAGTAGCGTTGGATGCGACGCGAATCGCATCATTTGCATTAGTAGTCCACTCAGTTCACGCCATTGTAGCCACGGAATTTGTGTCATTCGTGCTGCTAGAGTAGAACGTGCATCTTATCGCATCTTTGCATTGACTTTGCCTGTAATTTACTTGTGCGAATGATTTTACTCGTGCTTGGTGTGAGCCCATTAGAGTTATTGCTGGACTTCACACTGAGATTTGTTGAAGTAGTTACAGAGTTTCTGTTTGGTGGATTTGTGTTACAGATCAGTCAAGAACAAACGTAGATTCTACAATGTGTAGTTTGAATGTTGGGCAATGCATATGTTGTTTTACACTTTTCCCTCAAAATGTACAGTTTTAACCATCTGGTCCCCTTTCTGTCCATGAAACTACTGTATGTGGTAACTTAAATTGAGATGTACAAATTGTACTCTCCGAAGATCTCCTGGGATCCTCTGTAGATCTTCAGAGTAGCTTTTCCATGGACACCGGGTTAAACAGTGAGTGATGTGCGTTGGAGGATCCCCCAGGTGATGAATGATTCTCTGTGCTTAAAAGCTGCAGTGTGTAGCTCCTCCTGCCATAAGAGGTAGTGGGAGGCAGATTTTTCCACACCTTGGATGGTTA